AAAGCACTAACAACAGTCTGTACAGGAGAGAATAGTCGAATCAGACTTGACTTTATTCTCCTTACGACCTTAGAACAACACGAGCGAAAATTTCAATCTACTGGCCCAGAACCAGTTTGAAATGATTAATAGGATGCATAATTCTCGTGCAAATTGTTTAACATGTGGTCATCTTTTCGTAAAACGTTATTAACACATACTCCAAAATAAATATTTTGACACTCACTCACTTTTATTTACGAAGCGAGCTATCTGAAGAATCAAATTTTCGTAAACAACCTTCACAAATCGCACATCTATCGCAAAAACGTCTTTCTTCCAGCAAGCCCAGAAGTGCTTGCTTTTCATTCCCTTGCTCTGCTATAAGAAATCGAGTTCTGACCATACTGTTACAAATAAGATATACTAAAGTTAAACCGAGTTTAATTAAATATTTGGACGTTATTGTTTTCCAATCCTCTATATTGTTCTTGAAATATTGGGGGGTAGAGTAACTGTCAAAGAATTAAAAAAGCAACTGTAATGGAAACGTTTTGTAATCAGGTGCTAGCAAGTACAGTTGTAGAACATATACAACTTTGACGACCTGAACTTATATCATTTTTGAATGCAAAATATTAGAGTTGCCGTATTGAAATAATAGTTCTGAAGTCTAGGATTTGCGTTGTGTCTTAAAGCCAGTTTATTAAATATCATACTAGGCTTAACGAAAACTTTGTTACTAGTCCTGGTGAACTCAGTTGGAGTAGCGGAAATTTTGGTCGAAATGAGAAAGCTATTCCAGTTGTGAGATCTAGGCAGTAAAATTATAGATCCTAGCAGTTCAAGTGGCAAGTCATTATTGTTAAATATTTATTCAGAAGGTTTAAGACCAAATCATTCATTCGATAGGTGTCTTAACTTGTCCACTACTCTCCATACAATATAAGATTAAACTTTATTCTTCCAGGGCAACTACTACTAGCTTCCAGATACCTGTAGGCCTAGTGTTATGTCACTGGGCACTAGCTAAGACATCCGACATTCGGGTCACTGAATATCTAACAGTTTACAGATTGCCATCAAGGTCAAAATATTTAACGATTATCATCTGCAATTAATTAGACTTTCATAGAATTATTCATAACTATTACTGCACAAACTCTTATCCAACGTCAAATCTTACATAATTAGTGACTTATTTTATTTATTTATTCTGTTCATTTTGTAATACATATATTACTGTTCCTTCTTGTTTTCTCAAACACTCTTATTAAATCATTTACATATTTAACGCTTCTTTCCCTCACTTTTTTCCTTTTCGTTCTTTAAAGTTAATTCAGTATTCTAAATTCAACAGAACCTGTTTAAATATGGCGAATATTATGCACACATTATTGAAACTTGTGTATAACTTCATTTCGGAAGAAACTCAAAATGGTTTCATCACAACACTTATATACCAATAAGCTGTTTGTGAATAATAATCATAATAATAATAGCAATAATAATTAACGCGCACCAACCACTTGCACGCCGTGGACTAACTCATGCGGCAGTGGTCACACTGTTTCTTGTACGTACTCTTACCAATATATTTCTGTATTAACGTTGTTTGTATTGTATGGTCGTCAAAGTAGCTATAGTACCTGGATACGACGAAAGGGTGATCCACGCTAGGTAGTAACCGTGAGGTGCGACTTCGACGTAAGCTTGTTGATCATCTCATACCCGTCCAACTCTACTAGACCCCCAATCATCGACACAGATCACCTGTGTTGGTGATCTACAGTAACAATACCAAACAAAGATCAGATAACCTTGGAGACATCACCTTCCTCTTCGACTTCTTGTTTTGAAATTTCCCAAGACAAATTATCCAATTAAACCGGACGGAAAGAAAGTGCCAAACCACCAGTGTAATCAAAATACTCCTTCAAATCTGATAAAACTTTGAATTTAAAACAGTTTTAAAACGTTCAAACGGTATTTTACAAATCCGAAGAAGTAAGCGACCCTTTATTAAAGGACTTTGTGTTGTCTCCAAATTTTCAGACTTCGGAGCGACTAAGAGACAAACATTCAATAGATTAACAATCCGAAACTAAGTAATACCAAAACCAAAAAATTCCTCAATCAAATAGGAATTTTGTGAATATAAATTAAAGTCTACTAAATTATTGTTCTTTGCAACAATTACAGAGATAAATTAGTGATAAACCTTCAGCATTTAAGCCTCCTTGTGTCTATGAACAAAGTGACAAACTCAAGGGCAAGAATGGAACCAAAAATTCAATCTGTGAAAATTTCTAAAAAAATCTCCACAAAACACATTCTGATAATAAAAATCCAAAGTCAAAAAGAAAAACAAACCAAGTTTAAGGATTGATTATGTCGAGATTTAGCTAAAAGGAGCAGATTTTACAATAACACATTTACTTAAGCTGTACATTCGTATATATAGTTATATGGAAAATACATATCTATAGGAGGATAGAAAACATTGCATCACAAAAATGGATTCGAGACTCTTATTATTAAATGAGGTTACGTACTAATCAAGGGGTAAGGAAGAAAATCGTTTATGGGTCAGATATCAAGAAAAACGACAAGCATAGAGGTCATAATAATAAAAACTGAATAATGATCAAGCAAACTTGTATAAGATAATAGTAATAATAATAAAATTAATAATAATTGATTAGAGTTCAAAATTGCAAAACAATAATTTAAAAAATCAATAATAATCAAGTAAAATTGAAAAAAGAAAAAAAACTCAAAACTACCAACAAAGGGAATTAGGGTCAAGGAAGGATGAAAGGTTGGACGAATCGTTTCTGCACACAAAGTTCGGGCTTGAGTTCGTGGATTGTTAATGCCTCAGCAGTGCATAAAATAATAATTCAACATTCCTTCCATCCAATTCCTTTGACTCTGTAGATCACTTTAAAAAAGAAATCCTTTGGAGCGATGTGTCCACAGTTGATTAAATGCTCTTATATAGAACTAGTAATTGTTTTACAATCTCCTTTTAAAAGCCACGCCGATAGTGTTCTGAGATGCGTTTGGAAAGTGTGCCGCCTATGTAACGTGCCCTACGCGAGCAAGTACAATCCTAGATACACACTGATGTAACCCAAAGCGGAAGTTTATCCTTAACACATCCATGAATGTTAGGCCGGTTTGAGAAAACAGTTTGGAGTTTAGCTGCGTAGAACGTCTTGTTCAACGATTTTGAAACTCGTTTATTTAAGATTTCATCAGCCGTGTCTCATTTAAATTCCATATCCATAAAAAGGGTTTTCTTTTGTCCTGCCGAATCAATTTATGACTCAATCTTTTCTATCCTCCTATAGACATACATTTTCTATATAACTATATATACAAATGTACAGCTTAAGTAAATGATTTCGTCGAAAAGAAAAGTTCCTTCGCTGAATTCTTTTCTTATTCAATGACACTATGGGTTATTTTACTTACCTTGTGATAAGTTCAAGATTTTATGCTTCACCTGTAACATCATGTGTTTACTACTTTTACAAAAGGCAATATACAACATTTTCTGGAATGAAAGCTGAGAAACGTTGGTTTAACAATTTAAATCTTTAAGTTCAGATATGAATATCAGACTCCAATCTCAATGACTTTCGAAAATCAATTGAGTCTATTAGTTGGGATGAGACATGCTTTGAAGAACTGAAATTAGAAATGCTTTAATAACCGTACAGTACTTCTCCATAAAAACCGATGAGTTTTAAAAGTTTTCTGTTTGTTATCGTATTTTTGTCGTAACAGAAGAAACTTTTACCGTGTTTTCACAGTTTAACTAAATAAACAGTAACCAGATATCATTTTTTAAAAGGGCAAACTGTTAATTTTGGTTCTGATTAGATATTAAAAAATTGAAATTCTAAATTAGTTTATAGTGGTTTGGCTTATCTCAATGTTGATATTTCAACTGAATTTCGATAACCCAAATCATTACAAATTAAATTAAAATCCATACCTGTTGCAGAAGTGAATGGCTACTTGATCTCAGCAGCTTAGTGATTGAATAACGCTTTGATTAGTCGAAACAAAAGATGGTGAGTCTGAATCACGGAGTGACCATTAACACTAGGATTCAAGTACATCCACTCATTGAGTTCTGAAGGAGACGAAACGTAATGCCTGAATTCTATTCCCGTTCGAATATAACCTAATGTGGAAGCCACTTCTTTGGTTATTTATTCTCTGAAGAAGTGACTTAAACTGAATCACGAAACATCAGAAAATCTAATTTTTCTACTCATTGAAATATTACAAATATATTATTTTGTTTACAACAATCTACCCAACGCTCAATTTCTTCGGAATTATCAAGTCAAACCTAGGTAATGATGCCTACTACGCTTAAATCAATTATTTTTAAATACGATATGGGTGAAACAACTAAACTCATGTATATTGATCAAGAATGAGTAAAGAGATGATTCACGAATATTTCATTCAGAATAAGCTTTTGATGTTCTTTCTAAATCATCATATTCTTGAAACCCATAACTATTGTTGTGATACTCAACTTATAAACACAAACGTATGATCTATAACTCTAGAAAACTGATCTTAGATAATGACCCTTAACTGCAAATCCTAAATCCTGACACACCTAATCTCTTGTCTTAACTTCTAATTACTAAAGTGAATGCGAAAGCTAGTTAACATATACAGCGAGACTACAAATGTATTGCCATAGTTCAATGATCCCTACTTAATAAAGGAACTCTTGACGCATATAGACATATTAATCATTTGTTTAATCTTCCCTATATCACCAATTCTTCTGAACATTTTTTAAATTTTGTCTTCGGTTTAATCTGTTTAATCTTTCTTACCAATTTCTGAAGAAGACATTTAGGTAACTAGTTACAACTCCTCACTGATCCCAGTAACATCCCTTTTCACATGCATCTTAACTCCGAACTCATTAAGTTACAAACAAAAGAACACGAGAAAAAGCGCAAAATCAAAAAAAGAATTAAGATAAAGTGATTTCTGTGGAATTTACTTTCAACAATAGCTTCTAAAAAAGTTCCTTACATTTTAATCAATATGTTAACTTTATAAGAAGAAAAATGCATTCCAAAGAAGAAAACAAAACGAAAAATTAAAACTAATGCACAAATAGGGAGAAGTAAGTAAATAAAACAGAGAACACGAGGTTGCTCGCCTTTATACAAAAAAAAGAAACAATATTTTATTTTTAAGTAATTAGTCAATATTACTAACGTTCTTATTTACAAGGATAAGTGACTAAAATCACTGTATCTACATATACTTCTAAAATATACCCATATGGACCTAGTTTAAATCAATCATTATGTATCTATTTTTGGATATATAAGCATCGAATATATCATACTCAATAAACTGTTCAAAAATGACGAGAGAAAAATATACTGTGGTTAATACATATTAGCACATACTAAATCACTAAAAAGAGGTCATACACCTTTTAAACACAACATAATCACTAGAACACTCTGAAACAAAAACCAAAACCAAAGGATGAATAAAAGAAAGAATGGAAATCACATTTTCAACCTGAATAAAAGTTATACATTTCATTTTAGTGGATAATATTACAATGTACAAAAAAAAACCAATGGAATGATTAGTTATCAGAAGTAGATTTGGTGAGCTGTTTTTCATAAATTACAGTGATAGTAGTAATATCAATATTTAGCTACACCAACTCTGGTATACATAATATTACTTGGAGTTGTATGTGAACGAAAAGACCAAAAAGTGTGGAAATTTCATCAGAAATGAGTTAAACTATTGATATTTTTTGCATTTTCTCTCTTATAAGCAACCCACCGTCGGCTGTTGTTGATAAATTTCTTCCAGTTCCGACAATCAAACCACTTGTATTATTATTACTACCTCCGCAACTATGTACAGAATCCGATATTACTGTACCACCTCCATTTTTAACTAATGATCCTGAATGTGACGATGACCGGTGTTGTGTCTTATTATTTAATCTAATCGTATGACAATAATCGTGTTGGTTATCGAGTGAAAAGTGTGAACTATGACAGTCATGAGATGCATTGATTAGTTGTGAGTGTGTACTGTGTTCAGTCATCTTTTTGTTGTAACTGTGGTGGTGGTACCGATGAGAGTGAGCATGTGGCGGTAACTGATGTGAATGTAGTAAATGACGATGTTGATGATGGTGATAGTGTTGCTGGTGCTGATGCTTCTTTATTGGACCGATATCTGTAAAGACCATTTCTTTCTCGGTTGACAAATCGCATAACAACCCTGTACTCTGTGAATTATGACACTTATGTAACTGTTTTTTATTTGGACAGTGGGTGGTCAATCTGTGAGCTGACTGATTAAGTGATAGAGAAGGCTTTGAACCCGTTAGTTCTGTTAGGGGATCCAATGGCATATGTTTTCGGCGTTTATATTCACGATAGTAAATGTAGCAAGCTATACCAAGAAGTAGAATTAGTGCTAGTAGAATACCCGTACCAATATGAACTAAGTTGTAACTCAGTCTCAATGAACCTATGAAAAAAGTACACAAAAATAAAACACTAAAGGTTATAACAGTGATTATGTTTGAAAATTTCATGACCCTGCTCACAAAGGACAAAAATGTGGTCTCCGTTGAGGCTAAGATTAATGCTCTCAAACTCTGAAGGAATCATATAGGTCACTAAACTATCGAACTTCAGCTCACCACTTGCGAATTTCGGTGTAAATAACATTCAGTTATTAGTTTACTTAGATACTTGGTTTTTAATATCTGTAAGACATCGTAATGTGAAATTGATATTTGTGAAAAAATGTTTCTTATGAATAAGCTGGATTTGTTTTATGGACACGAAAAATGATACAAACAAATTATATTTCGACTTCTCATATTCGTTTGTAAGATGACTTAGATGGTTTGACAAAGATAGAACTAGCGACAAAATATTTACTTCCTGAACAAATAGTAAATAATCGAGAAGGAATATTATGAATGAAGGTAAAGGAAAGCATGTAATCACTGAAGTGTCATATAGAACAAAAGGCGAAATAATCCCCCTTTTGTTGTGCATATCAGTTGATATCATCTTTATAAATACGTAAGAAAGATTTCAGAACATCATTTATTTATTAGTACCCTATCATAGTAACGAATTGAAAAGTACAAAGAGTTGCTCTCATAAAAATTAGGTTAGAAAGTAACAAATATAAAATCTTCATGAAAGGAAGGAATGAGTCTAGGCATTTTATTCACCTTCAGGGAAGATTGGAATTAGTAGGCTCACTGTAGACTTAGTGAGGAAGTTTGGAGCGTGAAGTAATTCATTGGATAGTAATTTTAAAAATAATCGTTTTTTTCTCACTAAATGAAATACCTTAATCTCTAAACCTCTGAACTAAAACTAGAGTAAATTCATTAATCCTACTCTTCTATACAACATATGCCAGTTGTAAAATTAGATCTTTTTCGAAAAGGAAATATAGATTGATAAAGACATAAAATAAAACTGGGATTTACGAGGATGAGTGGTGAGATCTTGTTGATCTGTTTTTCATAATATATATTTCAGATGCTTCATGACAATACCTGGTGAAAAATGCTTTTACGGAACTCCCGAATTATCCATGAGGGTCTATGAATATATGTTCACACATTTGAAATAAGTCTTATTCATTTCACTGTCAACCCAATCATTCAATCTAAAATGTATTTTCATAGCCAAGTTTATGTCAGAAATCAGGACATTTAAGTCTTACACATGTAAACAAAATGAATTAATCTTCTGGATCGGTGACCGTTTCGTTAAATAACGTTCTATAGAGTACTTACAGCTTGCTTCATCTGATTCATCCTTTAACCATTTTCCATCCTTTTGATACATTCCACAATTCAGTACTTCATTACATTCTAGATCTGTATATAAACAATGACCTGTGTTTTCACAGAGGAAACCTTTACATCCAGCTGAAACAATAAATACATAGAAACATTTTTACATGTATGGTTGTGAAAATGTAAAACTGATGTCCTGGAATCTAATCTGAGAAAAATGTACTCTGTTTGGAAATGCTGGAATACACTTTTTGGTAAATTCCGCGGCACTAATATATATATATATATATATATATATATATATATATATATATATATATATATATATTCGATTTTCTAAACTAACTAATAACATCTATTCAATTCCACAGATTGAAAACCAGGTTTTCAATGGTGGCCTAGCTTCAACTGACTCATGATTTCAATCTGTGAAATTTCTAAAAATCTCCACAAAACCCATTCTGATCTATTCAATTCATTATTATATCGTTTCTGACTAGGCTAGTTGCCATTCTCAAAAACAAAATGTTTAATATTCAAAGAGATGAATTACCGATTATACTTGATTAGTTTTTGCTGTGCGTAAAATTGTATAAATTTGTGATCATTAAGAATAATAAGAATTTCTGTAGAACATTGATTTTCACTTTCGTTCCCTGATAGATTAATTAGAAATACAAAAATAGTTATTCTTGGCTTGATAGCTCTTCCTATAAATCAATCTAAAACATATAGTATACTTACGGACAGCCAAAAGCACAGGGGATTTCAAAGGTTTGGTCTCTAATCTAGTTTACTTTAGGTTAATAGTGTTTAAATTTTTGCTCTAATAATCATGATGATTCTTGATAAGGTTGGTAAGACATGTTGTACTTAATGGAAACGATAAGTGGAAGAACTTTCCAACCTAACATTTCATATACTTGATTATGTTTTTTTACTCTTTATTATAAAGATATTTACGGATATATGTTGACAGCCAAAACAGAAAAGAATATGTGGTGGCAAACTTGTTTGATTCGTCAGATCAGGTGAAAATGTGAAGTTTTAAAGGAAATGCTGGGACTGTTAGACAAAACTTAAAAGATAACAATTAAAATGAGTCAAAACGAGTTTTTAACTGTATGGTATTATGGCTAGGAAGCTACGAGAAACTTAAATAGATGATAGTAAAAGTACTTGTAACACAATTAGGCTATTCAGTAGACTGAATATACTAAGAAGGAGCACAATAATGGAGACTAACCTAGACGAAATTAGTAATAATTGGGATGTGCTGGAAATATTGCCATACTAAATTTAATTCAAACTCAATTTTTGTAAGCGTACATAGATTTGATTAGCTTAGCTTTAATTTAATCCACTTAAATTAAAAAAACCAGTTTGTAAACTCAGTATTAGAGTTCGTTGTTGGGTTTAAATTCACAGTCCCTATGTTAACAATTCTAGTAAATATTTTTAACATACTTTCAGGATCTATTGGTAGTAGATCAGTCCAAATTAACTCGAATCCTTTTGAACCAGATGCATCCGTTGCTGTGTGCATTCTGTTTAGAAGTTTTAAAAAGAAAGCATATTCCATAAAACTACTTGGTCAGCACTAAGTAATCTTTTTCAAACATTATGGATATTTTTAATTCACCAATTGATAAAGTTAAGACAGTTGGAAGACATGGGCTTTTAAAATAATATATCAACTAACAACACCGTTTCGTAATAAGTTGTGACATTGTAAAAGTATATAGCGGCGATTACATCTGTCTCTGGACTAGAGAACATCATGCCCCGTGAATAGGCTTTGCTATAGATCAATCAGTTTAAAATCCACTGGTTACTACTTTTCATAAACTCAAGAAATAATATTTTTCTATTTCATAAAACCTTCTTTACTAAAACAATAAGCTACAGTTTGGGATAGATGTTTGAATATGAAAATCTTGTTAAGATCACATGTAGATTGTTTGAAAAATTCGCTAACCATAAGAAAATCTGTGGCGAACTCTGAAGTTGTAAACATAACATAAAGCGACCATCCGAATTAGATATATCGTTTTATGCCAACTGGTCAAACATATTAAACTGGTGGGGATTTACAGGTTGTTTCTGCTTAGTCACCTCACTTACTAGCTTGACCATGTAAGTTACATACCCATATTCTTTCTTGGAAATATTGAACTCGATAAGACAAACTACTAGCAAAACCATTTAGTAACAAAAGTTATTTTGATAATCATTTTGTTTTATGCAAAATAATAGTCACGTTCACATTTATTTAAACGAAATGACAACAACTGATGTAGATATCATATCCTTAAAATCATAACATTTAACATGGAGTATTAAAGATGATTCGCAAATTAATTTTAAATATCTCAGTCATGATCTAAGACTAACTAGATTTTTTCCGATGAAAAAAGATTACTGAAAATTATGAAACAAGAGAAGTAGTTTATATATATATTCACTGATTTGGTCTGTGCATCCGATATCGTACAGGTGGAACAGGGAGTCCTAATCAACATGATCAGAAGCTTCCGGGTTCATTTATGGGTGAGTTTGAATATATTTACCAGTTAAAAGCTTCTAACTATGCATAGATATACTTCCAACTAGTGCATCACTGGCTGAAAATTTTCATCATGGGATCGAGTAGAAACAAGAGGCTGCTGCGTAAACCTTTCGTACTAAACGATTAAAATGTCAGTTGAATTAAAAGTGATCGAATCTAAAGTATTTTAAATGGGATAATCAGTATATGAATGGACGAATATCTCCTTACTATCGTGTGGATATGCGCCTGCGTGGCTTAATGGACAAGGCGTCTGCCTCCTTAGTAGAAGATTGCGAGTCCGAGTCCTGCCGTGCTTGGGGTGTGAATCATACTGAATATAATCTGATGGATTTGTTTCTATTTTTTGATTGAGATCATGAACCGATTAATGTTAGACCATCACAATTGAAAACCTGGAAGCACTGGACGGCCGTTTCGTCCTATTGTGGGACTCCTCAGCAGTGCGCATCCACGATCCCGCGAGCGGGATTCGAACCCAGGGCCTTCGGTCTCGCGCGCGAACGCTTAACCAACTGGACCACTGAGCCGGCATCCAATGGTGATAGTTTCTAACATCAACCAATCCACGAAATTGCGCGACCAACTTCCATTGTACTGAGGTAGATACCTGTCTCTACCCGACAAGGATTAGCTCCACTGATCACGGCTTCTCACTAGAACTCCGAGAATTCCCTCACGAAGCTAGTCACTAGTGAGCACATGTTAATTACTAGTATAGGGGTTGTGGAGATTATTAAGTTTTTGATTGAGATCATGAACCGATTAATGTTAGACCATCACAATTGAAAACCTGGAAGCACTGGACGGCCGTTTCGTCCTATTGTGGGACTCCTCAGCAGTGCGCATCCACGATCCCGCGAGCGGGATTCGAACCCAGGGCCTTCGGTCTCGCGCGCGAACGCTTAACCAACTGGACCACTGAGCCGGCATCCAATGGTGATAGTTTCTAACATCAACCAATCCACGAAATTGCGCGACCAACTTCCATTGTACTGAGGTAGATACCTGTCTCTACCCGACAAGGATTAGCTCCACTGATCACGGCTTCTCACTAGAACTCCGAGAATTCCCTCACGAAGCTAGTCACTAGTGAGCACATGTTAATTACTAGTATAGGGGTTGTGGAGATTATTAAGTTTGAAAATAATTTTAATTCAAAAATACAGTCACTTGAAAAGAAACAGAACTCCATCAAAAATGACTATTCAAACATAGTATTCAGTTACTACATCGGGTAACTTAAAAGTGATAAAAACTAAAAATCATCAACATTTGTTAAGGGATTTTTAAAGATTTTTATCTTTTCACAACCACGTTCATTAATTTTGAACAAATCTACTATTCTTTCTGGAAATAACCCGATATCATTTAAAATGTAAGCAGTTACGATCAAGAAACCCCCAAAAAACTAAAATTATTTGTGGCTCATACCATGCATGATCTAATATAATATCCATGTGTATTAACATTTTTAGGACTAGATTTCCAGTAACTCATTAACCATCAACATCAATACGAAATTGAAAACGATGTTCAAAATAATTTTTCATCAATATTCGTATATATTTTATTTATTCAGAAATGATAGAATATGCTGTGAATGTGCTATGAAATAGAAATAGGCTGATTTGGATAGATCAGACTATTATAGATAGCTTTCAAAATGATCGGTGGTAAAGTTACTTAATCAGTTCCTCAAAAATATGATAACGTGGCAAAGCTCGTCAAATGAGTTCAACTCAAAGAAACCTAGAAACGACTAGACAGTATAAGATAGTTTACATAAACATTTTAGCGAAACAGGTAAACAATTCTGAGAACAACTTCCGATTAATGAAGCTGAAATCTAACGGTTATTTAATTTGACGGGACAATTCTATATACACTCTCTCTGAATACTGATCAGAATAACCGTTAAATATCATGACCCATTGAATTTCATCACAAAGCGTATTTCTATTACGGTAGATGGCAATTAAACAATCCATCTTATCTGTACAGTTAACCCATGTTGACTAAAAAATTTAAAATCTCAAGAAAAGCAATCGGTCGGATAAATTGCTCAAATTAAAAAAAAGTTATAAAATGTCAATTGACATTTTGCTGATTATCCGTGGAATTTACCACTTTGGAGGGTTAAAACATATAGAAAGCGTTCAATTGTTGTAATAGGATAGCAACACCGGTTTCTCGCTCTCTCATGTGGAAGTGAAATACGAAACTTGAAGAGTTAAATGATATTCAGACCTAGGATAATCTTTGATTCGGCGCACTCAGTCAATAGGACATTAGTAATTCTAAGAGATTAAAAATCGTCCATAGTACAGTTTCACATTCCTTCCCATTACTTTGTAAGAAATCAATCAAGGATACTTCAAGTAGCTTAATTAATACCAGAATACATTGAAAGTATGTTCTAACAACTCACCTAACTTTGGATCTTAGTACAAGTTATTAAACAAGATTCTAGGACTCCTCATAAATATGCTATACAAACTATGATAGAGAGTGTGGAGCAGATTGGGATTTAAAATTTACTTTAAAATAAAGTATTTTATTAAACCTACTTTACTCGTGCTACAGAATTTGGTATAACGATAGGCAGGAGTTCATTAGGATTTCCACAAAGTTCATATGAACTTCTTGGGTTACGACCTTCATATATCCGAAGAACTGCTCTTGAACAATCTATTATGGCAGAGGAAAACATGATAAAAAGGTAAAACATAAATTTTTAGTGTACAAGATAATATCTGCATACATAGTGTTTAAGCTTCGGTTATAGAAGAATTCATTTTAAGTTTAAGTAAATGCAAGCGACAAATGATTTCGCAATTCCAATGAATATTAAATTTCTATTTGCAAAATCTTGTTCATTCCGGTAAATAATCTAATGCTTTATCTAGTACACCGCGTCTGATATATACATTTAGTATGTCACTGTAATATAAAAATAACAGAGGATATCTGTTTGTCTGAAAACTAATCAAAGCTTCAACAGAATAGTATGTATATAAAGCAAACATGAACAACATACAAAAGTAAATACATGGGAAGATCCAATCCACTATCCGAATTTCATTTTCACTTAGAAACTTACTCATTTTCGAACCTTCTAAATCCAATGAATTGAAATATAATTGAATGCGACTTTTCTCTGTAGTTCCTTGAATATACCATTCATAATTGAAGTCCTTGACATATAAATTGGGAAAATTTGGTGAAGTAATTAAACCACTGCTAGTACTTTTGACTGGATGCTTTTCGTCAGCACTATCACCATTTTTGTTCCCTAAAAATATTTTCACAAATTAAAACTACGTTATCTAACCATACGATTGAGTTATATATATACATTCAATGCTAATTTATTGATACTACTTGTTAAAAAATATTTAAACATGAACTGTATCAGAAATCCAATGAATCACATAGTAATTTAGTTAAACGTATTTAGGTGTGGTGACTTTTCATCTATAATGAGATTGTTTTTATTTAGAGCGGAGGGATTACGGCCTCCTATCGTGAGATCACATACAGTGTCTGGAAATTTCCATTATCCAGATTGATAGTAATAGTTAAACTACGCCATATGTCTTTCAATGTTGAAGTATAGAGTATTTTGAAATGATCGGGAGGGTTTTTTAGCTCTATTCATCGACGAATGTTGATAAATTTAGCGTATATCAGTAGTTGTGTTCGAAAGGACCAAACCATAGACAAAATGTTATATTACAATATAAATCGGCTGAGGCACCACCATGACAATACTTTATAAAAAAGTCCTGGTCCATTGAAGCTTAAATATATAAGTGGATAAATCATATTGATTGTATAGTGAAAACGTAAGTCGCAAAACTATTTATCTGACTGGAAGACCAGGTGAGAGGATCAAGATGTGTAAGGTTATAGTGAAGCATAAGGTTGGTTTTGAATTTACAGGTATACCACACCTCGCAAGATGAAATCATTTAAATTGCATTGCCTAGTTGGTTGAAAAGTTTTAAAGGGAGTCTCGAAATCGCGTTCGTTTTCTATCACTCCTTAATTTAGCCAATTATGACCTTAAGCAGTTTAAAATAAGTTCAAGGTTTCATTAGTTAATACTTAAAACCTTTATTAGTAATTTGTAAAGCAAATGAATAATATTAATATAATATATGGTAACATACCCGGTTTACCAACAACTTTTGATTTTATTGGATCAAGACGTATTTTTGGGAGAAATTCATAACTTAATGTGAAGCCCTTTGAAGTTGTATTTTGTCCACTATGAAATCTCATTAAAATGGCTGTGGCAGTTGGATCTGAGACAATTGGACCCGGTATATATTTCCCACAGTATATACTTATAGGTTCAAGTATATGTTGATTTGTACCTAAATAAATTTGTAATTCTTTCTCTAAATTATGCCAACGTTGTATCCAGACATCATATGATACTTCAAGTAACAGTGGATAATTGACACGTGAAGTTAATGCACTCATTACTTCTTCTTTTAAAGGAATGTATAACTGGATGATTTCAAGGAAATCCTAAAATAATTCAAAGCATAAAATGTGACTAGCAAGTGAATATGCCAGTGTAGAGTGTTAATAACGATTATATACTTAAGTAAGCAGTCTATGAAAATTAGTCTCCACCATGAAACGTTTCACCTACATTTATGGTTAACATTGGTATTTGATTTGCATAACTATTCCAACTATTCGTTTTCTGTACTCGAATGGTGACATTCGGGTATCAGATGGTAGGTGGTAGTTATATGAAACATTCCAAGTTAAAGCTGAAAACACGACAGTATAAGTCTTATAGTAGATGCGCTAAATGGAAGTCGTCTGACTTTTGTTTGTAGTGTTAAAGTAATAAAGTATCCAAATTGACGAACTTGTAAGAATTCATCAACTTTAATTGATAAAAATCAAGATAAGTGAGGAAAGGATCAAGGTCGACTAGACTAAGATCAATATAGGAAGCTAACGACTGTTGATTTGAGTACTGTGGAAAAGTGTGTTCCCGATATATATGAATTCATAAAAGCTAAACAACGATTGTTACAGTTTTTTTCAATCAATAATTTCATTGAGCCATCTATTCAATGTAACTCTATTTCTTGAAGTTACGATGTAAACTAAAATCTTTAATGGAATGTTTCTAGCAGTGGCATTCAGGACGCGCGCTTCGTTCTATTTGGGCCTTATGAGCTCGAAGTACCTATATCCCAGAGTTGATGTTCTATTCAGGAATTGAACCCAGTACCGTTTTCTACAAAAACTATCACGTTATGTCGAGGCAATCCACACAAGATGCCCTCATACCAACCAAAACTGATCAAATTTCAGTCAAAAATGTCAACAACAGAATGATTTAAACTATTTCAAATTGAATTAAAATCTTTAAGTAGAGTTCATAGTTTTTTGTAAATGGTTCAACATTCAACCTAAATTGTAACAAATTATAGGCAATGTGTTAGTATTTTAGAGAACTAAGTTTTTATGTTCACACAAAGTAACTTTCACGGTGGTAAATTTCAGCTGATCATCACAAGTTTTAAATGCTCATTTTATACTCTTTGTCCAAGTCTACTCTAATAAAAAAGTTGTTGTTTTAATCAGCCATAAAACTAGAACTTTAAACACTAAGTTCTATACGTATATTAGTTTTGAATCAAATTAACTCATTAGATCTGAAAATATATCGCATATAAGATTAATCTTCATTATCACTAAAAAATAATTAAATTTACGCAATCAGTAATTAAATCTAAATACTTTTTTACCAATCTTTTCTGGTCAAAAAGTTACCCTACTTATTAAAACTTCAGCCAAGTATAAAATTGTTTTTGTATAACTAACATCTTTATAAAACACTATTTTAAGTATATTTTAAAAAAAATATAGAAGACTAATCTGTTTGACAGACATTTTGACAGATAATGTTGAAATGTTAATGAATGTTAGGAAAGTAAATAATGGTCGTGTTTATGAAACAGGAATATTCGTGTATGTTAGCTTTTTTGTTACCATATAAACTAATATATTCACTGGTGTTTGTGTGTAGGTTTTAAGATTCATTCAGTTGATTAAAATACTAATCATAAATGAAAAAAAAAAACAACAATAGATTCTTTTTCAAATCCATATAGATTAAACTGAACAGAATAAAATTAACATCCATATAGCCCACTTTATTTTTAAGTTTAGCGAAATTATTTCAATGGTAATTCTAAGCTTAAAACGGATTATTTATTCTGTTTTACAGTAATATAAGAAAATAAAGCTTGGACGCATAGATGATGATGGATAGTTTAAAGTAATCAATAAAAGGTCACTTAATGTAAGTTTTTTGAAAGATGAGAATTATCAACAAAGTACAACAAATTAAGCCATAATTAGAATTAAAATCGAAGTTTCCCAGAACAAGTATAGTTCACATGTTGAGTATTGAGTAAAAATGGATCTACGGTGAAATTATTTGGAGTTCCAGACTTTATATCATTTGAACAATATAAAGTGACAGTCTAATACCCGTGAATATGACATTGATTCAGTTACCCTGAGATACCACGGTCATTAGGGGTATAAATAAGAATGTAGTATTTTGAACAACTCCATCTGTCCCAAGGACGGCTAAATGAGGAGAGTTGAGCAAGGGGTCAGCATCCCAATCCCGTAGAAAACAACCTTGCTAAATAAAAACTCTAACCAGAATAAACAATTTAAACTGTACCCTGGGAGTTGAATGGTCTTGTCTCAGATGAATTATAACACCTCATGGTGATAGGCCAGATTCTTCTCAAGTCATGGGGATGATACGCCTTCTAATAATCAGAGCAACAATTATTATAGGTACATGGAATGTTCGGACAATGTGGGAGAACTGGAGGACCAACCAAATAGCTACAAAAATGAGGAGACCCAATTTGGTGGTGCTCGGAATCAGTGAAACTCATTGGACCCAAGATGGACAGAAAAGGATAGATTCCGGAGAGATACTGCTGTACTCTGGTCACGAGGAAGAAAATGCTCCACACACTCAGGGAGTTGCTTTGATGCTATATAAAGAAACACGTAAAGCACATGTAGGATGGGAATCTTATGAACCCATGATCACCAAAGCATTCCGCAAATAAAGAAGGAGGGAATCACAATGAATTTTATTCAATTTATACAACCACCAATGATAGCAACGATGACGATAAAGACCAGTTCTATGAGAGGCTGCAATCAATCGTAGCGAAGTGCCCAAGAAAGGATCTCACCATTCTGATGGGAGACATAAACGTCGAAGTTGGAATGAACAATATCGGATATGAAGATGTAATCGGACGACATGGAGTGACTGGGAGAAAGGAACGAGAATGGTGAGAGATTTGCAAATCTATGTGCATTCAACGAAATGGTAATAGGTTGCACAATATTCCTACACAAACACATACGCAAAGCTTGGTGTGTCTCACTGAACCATATCACACAACAGAGAATCAGACCGATCACATTTGGATCATTAAAAAATTCAGAAGGTTTATGGAAGACGTGAGAACCATGAGAAGAGCTGACGTAGCTTCAGATCACTACCGACTGGTGGTTGCCAAGATGAAACTGAAGCTAAGGAAGCACTGGACGACTGGAGAGACAGCATTTAAAAGATTTAATACAGCATTCTCTCGAGATGCTGACAAACTCAACGGATTTAAGAAAGCTCTAAACAACAACAGTTTCCAAGCCTTACAAGATCTACTCCAAGAAGATGAAACTACTATGGAGGGCAACTTGAGATGGATTAAAACAACACTAACTCCAAAGTGTTAGGAGGTGCTAGGCCACAAGAAGCATCATCATAAGAAATGGATCTCCATGGGAACCCTGGACAATATTGAAGAAAGGAAGAACACGAAGGCAGCAATTAACAACAGCCGAACAAGAACAGAGAAAGTCAAGGTACAAGCTGAATATACAGAAACAAACAAGCAAGCGATGAAGATCATTAGAGCTGACAAGTAGAAATACGTGGAAGACCTAGCATGAACAGTGGAAAAAGCTGAAAGCGAAGGAAATATCAGACCAATATATGACACAACGAAGAAACTGGTAAGGAAATACAGCGAACCAGATAGACCGGTCAATGACAAAGAATGAAAGCCAATCACTGAGGTTCAAGAATAGAGGAACGGATGAGTAGAACACTTTGAGGAACTCTTAAAAAGGCTAGCGCCACTGAATTCACAAAACATCAAAGCAACACACAGTCATTCCTATAGATCTCACTCCACCAACGATCGAAGAAATCAGGATGACCATCAGACAAATCAAGAAAGGGAAAGCATCAGAACCGGGTAACATACCAGCTGAAGCAATGAAGTTGGACATAGAAGTAACTGCAAGTATGCTTCGCATTCTATTCAAGAAGATTTGGGAGGCGGAACAAGTATTAGTAGACTGGAAAGAAGGATATCTCATCAAGATACTAAAGAAAGGAGATGTGAACAAATATGAGGACTACGAAGGCATCACGCTACTGTCAATATAAGGAAAGGTTTTCAACAGATTCAACAGGTTCAGATCAACAGGCTGGTTTTCTTAAGGATCAGTCGTGCACAGACCAAATCGCGACAGTAAGGATCATCGTTGAGCAATCAGTTAAATGAAGCTCCCCACTACACATCAACTTCCTTGATTCTAAGAAGGGTCGCATTTCTACGGTTGAAGAACATATGGAATTCAAAACAACTGTCAACCAAAATCAAAGTCAGAATTTCCATTACGAACGTCAAGACAGTTCCATTGGACGGAGCTGAAACTTGGAGATCTACCACAACCATCATCAAAAATGTACAAAGATTTATAAACAGATGTTCACGTAAGATACTGAATGTCCGTTGACCGAATACTATCAGCAACAGCGTACTGTGGGAGGGGATAAACCATATTCCAGCTGAGGAGGAAATCAGGAAAAGACGTTGGAAGTGGATAGGACATATATTATGGAAAATACTGGTGGACGGTCTATTCTCCTTCACGTGGAGTTACAGGAGTAGGGAAGTAATTTTGATTACTTTTATAAAGCTGTTGGTGTCTATTTATCTCATCAGAAGAAATAAATATAAGTCATTAATACGGTTAATTTAAAAATAAGTAATTATAGTTGGAGTTTCCCTGAAATATGACTGAAATATGATTGATACAATCGATAGATATCAGTCTTATCCCTGTATCACAGCTAAAAGGCTCTATCAATAGGCCTATCTTATTCCACTCATAGCATATTAAGAAGCCCCGACCAAATTACAAAAGTAATAACTGTTAGCAGAGAATATTCACAGGTGATTGCAGAAAGATGAAGATATATATAAAGTGTGGGGAATTTTTAAAGACTACTGTCGATAAAAAATCTCCATATCTGATGGTAATGCATTTGCATTACCTAGAGTAATAACATTTATATATTACAGTTCTGACTACTCAATCATTTGACTGTAATAAATTCGTAACATTGTTAGTAGTTGAGCTTTGAGATCCTATGGTGAAAATCAGCTCAGTAAGTCTATATTTAATCAAAATTGTTTACCGGAATCAAATATTACATTTGAGTGGTGGAAGTTTATCAAATACTGATTGTTTTGTATAGCTAGTAATCCAGGAACATTACATCGTAACTGCATTAGGTTGGTTTCATAGTCTAATTTTATTTATTTATTTAAACTAGGGCTTGAAGTAAGCTGTTCAAAAGGATGCTTTGTAAATATCACTGCAATATCTATACAAAAGGACAGTTACTCTATTTTTCCCTACTAAATCTTGGTTATCACTTTTATGTTTGTAATTTAAAGTTCTGTTATTTGAAGATCATATCTACAACACAACCGTATTATTCAGATGGGTAATAATAAAACATCGAAATATCATGAAACGAGATATTCATCAGTCCATTGATGCTTCTGTACGATTTGCTTTAGTTCCATCGGGACTACGAAATATATTTTTAGCTATGATGAGAGTGATAGGATATTTTAAAGTGCTAGACGGAGGTTTTACATCATTAGGTACTTTGGAGTAGTGACAGTAGTCATATTCATGTAAGACGAAATTGTGGGTCACCAGGTCACATTAAGAGCACTTTGTTATTCAGTGTGGTAGACAATTTAGTAATACCACCAAAAAGCTGACTATTGTTCTTCGAACTTAAATATTTCTTCTGTTTACATAAATATGTGGGGAAAACTATGCCAGACACAATCGATTCTTGACAATTATCTTAAAAGAACAAGCAAAGCACAATTATGACAATTCCGTCCGTTCTGAAACAGACATATCTGATCAACATGACATGGGTGTAGTATCGTGGTTATGTTTTTGAATAGACTGTATAAGAGCTAATCATTACCCAGCATTTTGAATCTTGATCAGTTCTGATTTCTGTGAGACTAAATTTCTTCCGAATACCAGAGGCGCTATGCAGAAATGACAGTATATTTAAGCAAAGTACTTCACTGTACTTCATATTGCAAAGTAAGCAATATTACCACCATTTTTCAATCTACTAATAGACATAAAGCAATTTTACACGGATTAATGACAACGCGAAGCTGTCAAATGGTGAATGATGTGAGCGTCTATTTCCCAGACAGAATGAAAGTTTTCATGTTTTTTGGTCGTAGTTCTAATAGTTTTACAAAAACCTAATAACGATCTATCACTTTTCCATAAACCATCTTAACATTGAATTTTTTTACGCGAAATTTCGTATTCTACTTCAAACAAGGTAAGTTAGTTAACTAGAGATTCCTCACCTGATAACAAATTTGAAATTTTTCCACTTCTGATTGGTTTTCAATTGATACTTTCGACTGGGTTCGATATGTAGTTGCAAATGTTTCAAAGACTAGACGTATGGATTGTTCTACAGCAAATTCATTTTGTGGTGTAATTATATACAAACAATCTGAATTAGGTGGGTAATTATTTGGGTAGAGAGGTGAGTTGGTCCATCCTTTGAAATTTACTGTATTTGTTTTTGAGGTAGATGAGGATGACGGTTCGGAAGAAGATGATGACAATGAAAAAACAGAGGTTGCCGACTGCGATGGATTTACATACATAAACTGACAACTTTCAGGATTAATCATTATACCGGGAATACCAAAGTCTACAAATCAATAAGAACAGTTGATAAACCGTTTTATAGCCATAGGAGGAAAAAACCAAGTGTGTTTCACACAGAAAATGTTCAACTAGTCGAGTCCTCTAGCTGAAGATTTTAAACTATTTACTCATTGTTACAAAATTAGTTAGGGTCAACACTTCAAAATTATATAATTGATATCTAATCTTAGCTGCATAGTTTTATGACCTATTTAGTATATAACCAGTTAAATGTAAAGACGTCCTCTGACTTTTGATTCATATTATGTTTTATATTAAAGCAATTATCGTTTTCAGTCTTAGTGACTAAAATGTCTATTGTCATTAGAACTTCAGTGACCTAAGCTACAAATATTTACAGTCGTATAAATGAAATCCTCTTTAAATAGTTAAAATTTTTTAATGATAACGAGCTAAGTAGACTCGGTCGCATTAGATAACAGTTGGTAGTACGATAAGTTCATTTGAGAAAATCGTCAGTAAAATGTCTTAACATTTCATCAAATATAGTGTCATCACTATGACCTGAGTTGTGTATGACTCCAGTCGTCCCAGTGTATAATATCATAGTGAAATCAATCACAAGGCACATTTGCATAGTGTTTCTCAAACTTTTCTCTCTACTCAAGTTATAGATAAGTTTCCACTACTATAATCAAATTTGATCAAATCAATCTAATCAAATTCTTTCTTATTAGAGGTCTTTCCATAATTTGTTTTCTCACGACTGAGGCTTTTCGCTACCTCTCATAGAGTGTACGGAGTTACCAAAAAGCATCACTAAGTCTAGCATTTCTGTTAGTCTATGTCAGATGAAACATTTTTTCTCGGTACTTATGGACATAATTATTGGATTTCATGAAAAGGTTATACCAAACCAGTAGCGTATAGTAATCATAATAATCCAAATCGAATCCTGTTTACAAGCAAATCACACCCCTACCATAGTCTTATCTATAATCTTATTGATAATTTCCAGAAACTACCGTTTTAAAGAAACCAAATGTTCAAAAATGTGATGAAATTGAACTTTCGTTTGTCAATGTTTTCAAAGTACTACCAGTTTCCATTCTATCTGCCTATCAACAGTTGTGTTAACGTGAGGCACGCAAATGTATGTGCTACATCTGACCAAATTCTCACTAAAATAGATTCAGTAAGATTGAAATCTAAATAAATTAGGGTGGATGAACTCAAGGTTAAATTCATAGTCAAATCTCACATCTTAGCACTAGAGTGCTATTACGGAAAAACCTCGGATATATTCTGAGTCCATGGGAGATTTTCCTTTACCTCTAAATATGAATTTCTGGATACCTAGTCTCAGTTAAAATATGTATGGTCAAGAAATATTCTATCACTCAGACAAATTGAGTAGGTTATTTATAAACTAATTCATTTTCTAATTCCCATAACATCTACATTAGTTGACAACGGAATAGAAGTCAAACAATAACACCCATTCTGTGTAGTTATTACTACTAAATAAATGCATCGACACGATAACTCGATTTGTCTCATTCATTCTATATTGATTATCCTGTAGGCCATAGTAACAAACGTTTGTTTCATGGTGGAATTTAATCGTATCGTGATCATTAACGGAGAAAATAAGTTAAATCAGTCAAATATTCCGATTAGCGTGGGAAGTAGAAAACTACGTTCATTGGTAGCAAAGCATATAATTGAAACGGGGTATAGGACTGACACCAATACAACTTTTAAAACCTTGCATGGGAATCGCCAAGGACGAATTCTTAGGTTTAGAGAAGCCTTGACTATTCTCAAATTCACAGATCACTTGTGTGTACAGAAACAATTTCTCATAACCTTGAATTTACCCTGGTAATCTTAAGGTAATTTTATGGTCTAAGGTTTGTTTCCATACAGTATTGATTTTCTTTCTCAACCATTTACAAGTATTAATTCTTCAAAAGTAATTATCTAAATTTACGGTTACTTTATTCCAAGAAAAAGTATTTTGTTACAGTTTGTAGTAACAAGAGTGGGTTTGGAAAACTATCAGTAAGTCTAAAACCAGAAAATCATTTCATAAAGCAATAAAAATAAAGGAATGTACATTGAATAAAACTAAACGTGAATGTTAGAGACATTGGATCCTCATTTATATTCTTATATTAAATTAACTTGTATAGAACTATTGTATTCCTTGATTATAAAAATTAAGAATTCACGAAAGAGTTAACAAACATGATTCAAGCATTTTAATTTGAGTTACAGTTATTATTGGTAATTTCAAAATATTGACGGTCGACTTGATGAGTTGATCTAAAATAGAACACCATTGAAAACCTGGAAGCAGTGAACGGCCATTTCGTTCTAGTATGGAACTTCTCAGTAGTGCGTGTTCGTGATCCCGTACACCAGATTCGGACCCAAAACCTTCGGTTCGCACACGAACGTTTAACTTCTAGACCACTGAGCCGGCATCCAACAGTGTTAATGTCTAACTTCAACTAATCTATGAATGACTAAACAACCATTCTTCCATTGTCTGAGGTAGATACCTGTCTCCACCCGACACAGACTGAACTCCACTGGTCATGGTTTCTCACTAGAACTCCGAGAATTCCCTTCACGAAGCTAGTAATTAGTGAGCACATGGTAATTATCAGTATGGGATTGTGGAGATTGTTAAGTTTTTGACTGAGATCCCGCGTGCGGGACCGTGGATGAACACTGCCGAGGAGTCCAATACTAGGACGAAATGACCACTCAGTGTCCCCACATTTTCAGTGGTGGTCTACTTTACAACTATTAAAATTACTACAGTCTCCACAAACCCCATTCTGATCATAATTATTACTTTGTTTGGTTGAACATTCATTTATTGACCTTTATTAATTTTCAGATAAAATGCCTTGACAAGTGTCTGTGTTTAGATTGTTCTAAATGTCTAGCGTAAATACATCACATCTTTTAGATCAACTCCGTCTTCTTGTTGATCTATAAAAATTTAGGAAAGGGATTGATTACTTTGACATAAGAATCCTGAAAGATATAGATATCCGATTGGTTTATTTCTTTATTTTGCATATTATGATGTTAAGGTTTTTTTTATTAGTTTATCAAGCCACTAACTTTATTTGTATTCGTCTGTATGGGTTGGTGAAAAGCAACCGAACCTTAATGATTCGTGCACATAAAGATAAATTTCATTTATTTTTTGTCAGCATAAGTAAACTAAATCGTCAGGCTATATGAACTTAAAGTAGGGATAATCATAGTCATAAACTACAGATTCAGCATAGTCTATTTTTAAAATATTTATTATTATTATTAATAAATAACTTTATTTTCAGATTTTGTAATTAACGGAATCTTTCCATTTCCATTCTCTTTCAATGAAACAGATTGGGGTTAGCTAGAAGTTGACAATGTCCTTGTATAACTTTCCCACATAGAATATAGTCTTGAATAGAAGTTATGGGTGATTAAGTGATGAATCTGTGAGGAGAAATGTTAAAGCTTTAAGGTACATAAACAGTAACCTGATTTTACACAGTGTAAAACAAGATATCAGTATTTCACGGATAAAACAATCTCTGTTAAGACGAAGCATCAAAATATATTCCAGCTTTGACATTACAGTGTTCATAATCAAGGTACTCCTTGAAACGTCTTAGATTCCTTTGTCGAAACGAGTTACGTATGAACAGTGGACTGTTATCTATAACTTACTGTTCATCTATATGTGATCTTTTGATACTTTGTTCAAACTGCAGGCATCAAAAGTCTTAGACTGGTTCTAAATTCAAATGGATATTCTGATTTTTGATCCTAAGTATATTTGTGGTGTATTCAGAGGAATTCCGTCAGATTTTTAATAGCACTAAACCGAATAAAGAGGCCACAAAGTTCTTTGAAGTTTAGATGTCAACACTTTTATTCACTTATATCTATGTCTAACCTACGAATAAATTTTAATCTAAAAGATGCGTGGGAATTATCGTAATGTCAAAACTTTGATGACAACACTTACAGGTGATGTATGCATTGCTCCCTAATACTTTTTTATTGTACCAATATACAACAAAGAAGTTATTTGTCCACTAGATGGCTTATTCTTTGCAACACGCACAAGGGTTCGACTCAGTCTGTTTTAAAAACCAAATAGGGATGTATTTTCTAAAGTATTTTGTAATATATGAATCGACTTCAATACACTTTTCATACTCAGATTAGATGGACTAAAAGACCTTGAACAACTCTTAAGTAATTCTAATCATACATCCAATTATATTATTATAGATTATTTGTCGAATGAAGGTTTATTTACTCTTCTTTGCATCAAACTTTATATAAAGGTTTAGATTATTACCTGAATACTTAAACAGAAGTGGAGTGGGATCTGAAAATGTAGCCTGATAATTGTGAGTAATGTGGTGTAAGCTCAAACACATTTCTTATCACGAAAGAACATTAGCTTGAAAACTATCGAAAACCGTATAGCACTGTACTTTGTTCTATTTTTGTTTAGGACTGTTTTGTCCAAGATTCCTACTAATCATTGCACAGTTATTGCATCTGTCGAGTCCTTTTCTTGTCTAAAAACCTTAAGGTAGTTTGATATACAACAATCATTAGAGGAATATATGAGTTATGAAGATTTATCAACGGCTTCATATTCATACTTCTTCAAGCTTGGCACACATTGACAAGATTTTTATTTTTATGATCTAAGAAACTAAGGCCCTGTCTAAAGCTAACTCCTCTTAGCTTTGATAGGTAACGGAATTTAAAGAACAACGACCAACAAATGAATTTGATGATATTCAAAATGTTTATTGTGAATAAAAATATTAAAAAACTCTACTCAATACCATGTATTTATCTAGAAAATAAAGAGTAGATCATACTGGGTTGACTTAATCCGTTATTCAATGAAATGGTTAGTATTTTGTAGTTATAGTCGTCAATGACTTGAAGATTACCATTCAACTTATTCAGCTGGTTATTAGAAGACAAGTCGTGACTAACTTGAAACTAACTGATTTGAAATAGTCTGTTTAAACATTTGGCAACTAAAATAGAAGTCATAACAACCGTTCAAATATTGCTTACCATTCACTTAATAGTCAACTCCATAGCTAGTTACATATTACTCACACGCAGGAATAAGAACCTGTGCAGATTTCTTTTTCAAGGAAATAAAGAAAATACTTTATTATTCATTTGATAACCAGCCTAATGACTAGTGGATAATGCACAAAGTAAGATCTGACTACTAGTTAAGTCTCGTGCTTCAAGTTTATATTACCTCAGACAAGCAACTACTAGGCCTCTAGTTGAAATACGGTGGCGATATAGTTCAGTTTGTTACACTCATAAAAATATATTTATTTGAAATTACTTCTATATATAGGTATTAGTATTTTTAAAAAATTGTGTTCTATAAAAGAGGATTTTACAAGCTCTTGTCTACTGGTTGCTTCAGCTCAGGTCTTACATGTGTAAACGTAACAATTAAGTGGTTTCACTACTCAGTAACTGTTTTTTTTAAAGAATAATACGACTGTAATGAAAGTTAACATCTACAATAGTACTTTCCATACAAAAATTGCTCATGGGAGTATTTAATTTGAATATCACATAACTTCAACCACTCGTGAATGATTAATGATTATTCACTGAATCTCATCTATAATTCACTTTATGATCTTACGCAATATTAATGGGGAGTAAAGTTTTCTACCAGTGGATCATTTATATTTTCAATGAACTGTATCACCAGACCGATTGTGTTGAATAGTCTGTTTGGTAGTGCTTAGGGTAGTGTATGATCCATTAGTTTCCGGGATGCGCTTTAAGTGAAATGTAAAATGGTACGAATTTATGCCACTTGCTTCGCCATATGATGATTTTATGTTTTTCATGCTAGAAAAATTAATCAACACCAACACATTCAGAGTGTAAGTAATAGCTTTAATTTGTAACCAGTCAACATATGAATCAAACACTGTTTTACCCAGCATCATAGTCCGTCAAATAAGTTAGGTCAACAGTAAGGACATGACTACAGTATAAATAGTTTTTCTTCCCTCAATAACCCTACAAATTATACAGAAAAATAACTGGGATGTGGTGTCATATTTCGAACTTTTAATTTATACGAAATCTAGTTTAATCGCTCAAGAATAATAATAAAAAAATTAACATACCCTTTTTAAACCTATAACTTAGAATAAACTTCATATTTAAACCGGGTAAGTCGGCTCCCGTTGAATTAAATCTCACCAGTAAGACATTGTGTCGTCCAACTATTGGATAATCATGATGTTGAAAACCTGATCCGATTTTGAGCGATTCTAGTTCATTTGATCGATCACAAAACACATGATCGGGTTCTTTATTAGATTGAAGTATTTCATGAGAATATTCATAGGTTGGTTTGTTAATTTGTTCACCAGGTAATGATCTACTACCATAAATTGCCATGTGTCCACGATCACATCTGTAAACGTAATCACGAAAATAAAGTTGTATATACCATTATGAAGTTATACTATGTGGAGTTCAGAGTGTTAATCCTATACGGTAATAATGTTAAATCAAAATTTTGAAGTAGCAATATTTTGTTTCATGGTGATATATAATCTAGAAATGTAAGGCTAGAGATTTTCGTACACTTTGAAAAATGTCTTCACAAATAGCTAAGTTCATTAGAATTTAAAAATATCATTTAGATAAAATATTGTACTTCGACTTACTCTTCAAACAAACCCCTAATAATCTAAGTAGTGGAGTTTTAGACCACTCTAATACGAGTCATTAATGAAATAAATTTCCCACTTATTTCTGATAGACACTAATATGTGTTAAATATACTTGAGGTATTACTTTCTACTGATTGTCCACAAACGTCCAACATAAATAATGGTTATTTTTAGTTTAATTTCGCTTCGAAGCATAAATTAAATTCATTTTAGGGAGGGAGATTCAATTTCAAATTGCATAAATTAATGTTCAGTAATATCAAATATCTATTTTTTTTAAAGTGAACATCATGGCACTGTAAAACCTAACTAGAAATTCAATATATATCTTATTTTTCGGATAAATTTCTAAAGCATAGAAAAACAAAACTCTGCAAACTGCGGCAAGCATAATGAAAATCTTTGTTGTTGTTTTTCTCCACAGCAATAATTTTTAAATTTAATTAGCTTCTTATTCATCATTCTTACTTGCTTCTATCAACCTGATGAAGGAAAAACATCTGTAGTTTCCACCCATAGTGTTGCACTATATAGTGGTACAAACTTCTCATCATTGAAGTTATTCAGGATATCATACTTATTTATTACCAGTAGATAATAGCTATGGTAGCTAAATCTTTAGACCATTATCTTGGTAGGGCATTTTGCAGTAAAGCCTAATATTTTATTCAACACTTTCCACTGTTTACTCCAAGACTTTCAAAACTTCAAAACATACAAAAAACTTACAAATGAAACAACATATACCACAGAAGCCGAACTGATAATCAGGATTCTTCTGATAAATAAAAAAACTGTCTCTATTTGTTCATCATCTGATGGAGTTCTATTTCAAAAGCTGGATGTTATCGAAATAGGATATTTGTATTCCTGAAATTTTCATGTCATTTGAATCATGTGAATTCATGAATATGATTTTTAACTTTACTCTATTACTTGTCTTTAGAGGATCTGATTTCTGCAGTATTCATATTCCAATACAATAACCATTACGACCGATATTTCATTATTCTTATAGCTATTACTTAAAACCAACATTTTAGTCACCTAAATCATGTAAGTGATTATTATTTCGATTAAAAGTCAATATGAACGTATTAACCATGGGCTGCTGTAGTGCTTTTACTAGTTTCTGTGACATATAATCAATAGCAACACTGAACTAGGATCTACAACCCTTTTAATTAGCTGAAAATCATATCATATAAGTTCTCGTGGTATTTCATAAATTAATTTATTTAGAACTGAGCTCACTGTTTGAAGTATTAGTGACAAGTAACGACAATTAGTAAGCGTCTTATTCCTTCCTAAACGTTTCAGTAAATTAAATTCCTCCATAACCTATATCAATCTGTCAATGAGCTCAAACTTACGGACAATATTGACAATGTAAACGAATGAGTCATTCTAAACAAGCTTAAGAGACTGTCTGCTTGCTGATTTTCATTCAAAAATAAATTTTACACAAAATTATAAAAAGACTAGCACAAAATTCTGATTTTCAGTACAAAAACATAATTCAGAAATAAATATTGGACATGTAATCAGCCAGAAGAAAACACAGAATTCGAGACCTGTCCTTGTTATATTTCGTTTAAGTTTCAACTATTGTAACTAAATTAGGTTATGAAAGTTTAGAGGCATTTAAAAGAAACCAGATGTATTTTTGCTTCATACTAGGGGGGAGATAACCAGTAATATGAATCGAAATATTCTTAAGTCAAATAATGTTTTAGATAATTACGTATAATCAAAATATTAGAAAAATCGATTAAAAATAACCTAACTGCTGATTAAGTAGGAAACATTTATATGAGAGAATTGGTCCCAACAGTGAAAACAAAGGAAGCTAGGAAGCAACGATATTAGTGCCAACTCTTATGCCTAAGTCATAACAAGCTGTCGAAAATATCAAGTTACATTATGAAGATTGACTAGTGAAGATGAATAATGATCTCGAAATCCATATATCAATTCCGGGCTAGGGTGAAAAAGACTGGGTTTTTTTTTAATTTTGGTTGATTGACGGTTAGTCAATGAATGTATAGAGTTTCTGAACTCAGACTAAAATTTGTAAATGCATAGTTCCCATTATTTATTGCAGTCGATACTTGATACTAAAAAAATAATATTGATAAAGTATATCCGCCTTCATTGTCCAGTAAAACGTTTGTTGTGAAAAAATTAGCAATCAGTAAGGTGACGGGTTTGGAAAGCACACCCAGTGATTTGGGTAAATGTGATTGTCTGAAAATCTATACTGTAACACGATTCAAATGTTTTCTGGATAATTGTCCCATTCTCTACGGGTTGTGCAATGACAGCTAACTGTTCACTAGATTTTAATACTTTTTTTATAATGCAGAATTTTACAGGCTGTTGCTAATTCAAAATGTTGATTGAGTAACGTTAGTTAGATGGAATCTTCAAAATAAATACAATAATCAACAACATTGAACCCTTTAGTATTAATTTGTCTGAAAACGTACTAAAGTTTCTATACATTATAAGTTGCAGTTTCATGGTTTATTTAATCTAGAAAAGTTTTCCCTATTTAGTTTAAATTGGTAGGATATATATATATATATAATTTAGTTTAATTAAAGTCGATAAGTATAATGCTCTTACAGATATTACTTGGGTTTACTTCACTCGTACAAAAATATTTAATCAAAAAAGTATTTATTTATAGTAAGTTTGTTCAAACTTATTACCGATAGTAACATCAGGACAAATCTAATGATGGATGGACAACAATTAAAAAGCCGCTGAAAACCGGATTATTAAATAGTAATTTAATCCAAATTACAACATCAACAAACTAATAACCCTGTCTAAAAGCCTGTCATTTAGTTCGTGAGTTTAAATTCACACTTTCAACTTGAGCTGATTTGTAATTTATCAAGACCACTACACAATAATATCCCTAAAATGATGGCATTTAGAAAATCTGTCCTTTAAATGGATTTCGCCGAAAGGTGGTATACAAATAATATAATGGTGATAGGTTTTGGATTGGCAGTTTCGAGTTAACAGACTGATTAGTATATTCCGTCTTCATAAAATAAGTGTAGTTCAAAGCCATAACATTACACAAGCCTGTATTCGGTTATCAAATTATTTTATTGTGTTAGATGAGTGAAGAAAAAACAAGTCAGCACTTATGGTTCTAGATTTTGCATTTATTAGCAATTGTCGGTAGTATGGATCATTAAAAACCGAATTTCCAATGCAATCTCACAACACAACCGCTGAAATATCTACGCTATAATTTTTTAACTAGAAAATTTATGTTATGGAATCAATCAGCCAAGCTAATAGGACTGGTTTATTGTGTTTCAATCACCAACAAAACTAAACTATTTTAATCGGCTGCAAATTTATATGGGTTATGTGTTTTAGATTAAGATCGTGAATCGATCGATGTTAGACTACCATTGAAAATCTGGAAACATTTACTTTGATCTAATTCACAAATGATTAAATTGATGTTAGATAGTTAGAAGTCATCTTCAAACCTAGATTTTATACAAGATTGCAATGTGAATTATCTTGAGGCTTCTGATACTATTTTTGGGAGTGAAACTTGTATAATTCAGTGCTACCGTAAATTGCTCAAGCTAAGACTAGCCTTCTGTAAAAGTGAGAATTTTTCGTTAAGCAGTCTCGAAGTTGTGACTAACTTAGTATTATCTAGTTCGTATTGTGTATTATGTAATACTGATCAGGTTTACGATTTGTTCTGGAAAATTAAGCTATTTGGGCTATTAAAAATATAATAGTTAGAAGAGACAAGTCGCACCATATAAGGCGAAACTGAAAAGCATATTCTGTGATGTTTCGATGATGTGACAGGAGTAAAGATTAGGCTAGCAAATTTAGTCGGTTTATTGATCAATGGTAATATTCGATGTAGAAATGGTGCTTTGGATTTCTGAATTATAGCTGTAAGTAATAAATTATCCAATTAGCCAGGATCCAGTAAATACTGACCAAAATATTAATAAATGCTCCCTAAGTTAATTTGAAACATAGAAACACCGTAACAATTAGATTTATTATTAACAGGTCACTTCATTTATTACTTAGTCTTTCATTCTTAGTTTAGTCAAGTAAAGATAGACTGAGACTTTACCATTGTATCAAACATGAGTGAATTCGGTTTCCTAGTGTAAAATATCTTTAAGAAATTTGCGTTAACTTTTAGTTGTTCATCTTTTTATCCCGTTTTCTATCTAAAAATAGTCACATCATCTATGATAAACTGTGCGGCTTCTGGATAGTTTTAGAAACAATTAAAGAAAGCAAAGCATCTTAAAGTAAAATATTTACAGATGAAGGGTAGACAAGGTGTAAGAAAGTGAACTTATTGAGTTCGTTCTACACTTTTACGATTTTCGGTACATTCTTTTTTGGTACGAGGATTTAAATTGACGGCCTACAATACAAATTGACTCAATTATTGGTAGAGTTGTTTTATATTTTCTAGCAATACACATTAAGTGTCAAATGTCCTCACTGTAAACATCATTCTGGCCTCTTTAAGCGTCATTGTCTAACGTCACAAAAAAAGACCCAATTTAACAACCTATACCTCTGAACTGATCATAATCTGTGAAGTTTTTAAATTACATGGTAGACTTTTCTATAATTAGTGTGAGGTATAAATTATGAATAAAATGATCACTTTCGTAAAGTTTACAGATTACCATGCAACTTAAAAGTGAGTTCAAATCGTTGCATAAAAATCAGTATGATAGTGGCATATTTATAGGCGCAAAATATAGAGATTAAGGACCATAGTCGGTAGTTTTTACGATGGAAATTCATCAGCATTTTATACAATCATACAGATTGAACTTCCAATGGTCAAAACATGTTAGCTACTTGTGTATTCGCATTATTGTAATTTTGGTCTTACAGAATTATATTTTTATTAATAAAAGAAAGGTGAATATCAACAGTTTCACATTGTAATAAAAAAATCTATGGCGAGACTATAATTTATGGACGAACCGATGAGATTTGGGATTAAAGGTCTTAGATTTTGGCGCGAAATCTATTCATCCACTTAGCTAAATAGAATTTTGGCTTTATAAGTGATGTCAGTTCGTGATGAAACTCCTAAATATAATTCCTAACCCTAACCATCAACGGTAAATCATAATTCTAATTCTTCAAACAGGTTTATAACCCTTATTTAGTTCCAGTTATTAGATGGACACTCTCAAGGTCAGTCTAGCGTCGCTCAAAGGTCGTCCATAAATTATAGTCTCACCAAATCTATCATAATATCAATAAAAAGTAATTACAATTACCACATAAAAAATATTGATCATACAAAAATATGAATACAATCGCCTACATTTGACTTCCTTCACTTGACTTAGGTAATTCGATTCGTTCAAATCCAATTGATACGCTTTCGATGTATTGTTCAAATCGTTCTCCGATAAATATGAAATTGCATACTCTATCTGGAGTTAATACGAAATTATTGCGCACTGTGGGTGATTCAAACTGTTTTTCAATGGAACCTTGACTTTTTATCACATAATCACATTCTGAAAAAATTTTTAACATTAAAATGAAATTCGGCAAGGTGTCGAAATTGACATTTCGGAAAATTTAACATACACCTTTAAGTTAAACACCGAAAGCTTATTTGACAAAAAGCTTATACATGAGCAGTACGAACAAATTATGATGGATTAATATTTTATTTGATATGATAATCAAACTGTTGTTGGCTTGAATCTGAATAAGAATCGGCAACAATATTTATCAGTTCTAGTGACACATTTAACGGTAGAACTACCAGAAGCAGTTTCGACGTTATTACAAATTGATAGCGAGCAATCAAAACTGGACTATGAAACTAGTGAGGTACGTATATCTACGCTTTATCAAAACCAGCTCTAAATATTAATTATTTCAGTAGCCTAATTTTGTTTCAACTAACCTATCTTACCATATTATTGGCCTGTTTACATTTTATTACTAACTGAAAATCTGGGTTTGTTCACTGATACAGTTTGACTAGGTTGGACGTGAAACATTATATCGGGTGATCAAACTTAAACATAAGAATTATTATCGTTTAGTAAATGTATTGTTATTCACAAGGTTTGATACTCAGTTTACCTGTTCCACGGACGTGCTCGCCTCCAGGTGCTTCACTGACAGGCAATAACCTTTTAGTAAATGTATAACGTAATCGAAAACCTCGACGTCTTGTACTCAATGCATTCATTATTACATTATCTCTTTTATTATTTACATAATTTAGCAACTGAATTTGACCAGTAACGAATAGTATGACTAAACTTGCTCCCGTAGATACGATATGAATATTATTCGAGTTATCACATATTCTTTGACCGATAGAATTTCGACTTATACTGGTATTGTCTATTTGAAAACCATCATAGAATTGGATAAAATCTTTTGGACATCTGAAACACAAAATAACGAAATGATTGACATAATAAATAAACTAAAGATCATTAATATAAATCAGTTAAATCAGAGCTGTTAGAGAACCACTGAAATCTGAAAAATCAACTTTCACATTATATTCAAGATCATTTGATAATAGTCTATTAGTCTATTAGCAGGAGAAGCCTGTAAACCCTACGGGAAAAAAGAGATTTTCCAAAGATTGCACGACAAGATTGCTGAAGAAACTAAAGCAAACGGACACGTTAGCGGTTTATTGTGTTGCAGGGACTTCTATTTATGTAGTGCAGACGGCTATGTTAACAGTCTATACTTTCCAATCACATCCAGAAATCTTATGACAACCGAGAAAACATCCAATGAAACACCCCTTTCTGTAGTCTTATAGGGGCCATTATAAATTTTTTAAGTATTTACCTATCATATAGTTGAAGAACATATGGAATTCAAAACAACTGTCAACCAAAATCAAAGTCAGAATTTCCATTACGAACGTCAAGACAGTTCCATTGGACGGAGCTGAAACTTGGAGATCTACCACAACCATCATCAAAAATGTACAAAGATTTATAAACAGATGTTCACGTAAGATACTGAATGTCCATTGACCGAATACTATCAGCAACAGCGTACTGTGGGAGGGGATAAACCATATTCCAGCTGAGGAGGAAATCAGGAAAAGACGTTGGAAGTGGATAGGACATATATTATGGAAATCACCGAACTGCATCATGAGGCAAGCGCTAACTTGAAATCCTGAGGAGAAACGGAAACGAAGAAAGCCGAAGAACACACTGTGTCGGGAGTTGGAAGCAGACATGAAAGGGATGAATAGCGACTGGCGAGAAACGGAAAGGATTGCTCACGACAGAGCTGGATGGAGAATACTGGTGGACGGTCTATACTCTTTCGCGTTGGGTAACATGCACAAGTAGTTAAGTAAACAATCTACCTAACTTAGCGAGCAATAAAGGGAATACACCTAAAAAAACAGTATTTTGCCGTTCAGTAGAGATAAAATTTTGAAATAAAAAAGAACTTTAGAGTTAGAATAAAGAAGAAAGTCAAACTTTCTAAACCTTCTCTATTGGTTTAATCAATTTTTAAAATATTATTTGAGAAAAAGTTAAAACCAACAAAGCGAATTTCATTGACAGATAGTCAGCCATTATCTTGATCATGAAAAAAGAATAGCTTTACTCAAAAGACATTAAATAAAATATCACCAATGTTGAAAAGAGAGATAAGTGAGAAATTACCGGTTTCACAATTCAGATAGATAGCTTGTGTTCCAGTCTCAGTATATAGTCTTTTCTGATGTAAGTATTTTGAACAAGAAACTAAGGGTATTGGTGTCAAATATCCATGTAATCGTTACAGGAATTGTTGGCATAAGTCCAACCAGTGGCTCATCCATATACTACTTAAATGAATAGTAATACGGTGCTTACTTGTAACTCGCTAGAAAATACCTCTTCTGTAATTTGGGCAAGAAGTTGTGGTATATTAAGTTAATTAAGTCAGGAAGGAGACTGAATATTTGCAAGCAACATTGCGTTATGTTCACGCCATATAAAAAAAAAATAACTGAAAGAGGTTTTACGTATTCCACTGACTAGTATTGTGTCTTTCTAAGCGCGATTTCGCGAAGTATTCTTATTTCAACTAAATGTTATAAAATACTTGGTTCGTAATAATTTAACTCTCACCCCAGGTTCAGTTTTACTCTATATGAGTTATGTATTTCACTTGCTGGACGTAACATGTTTGGCTACTTTCGTGTCCATCGATATTCAATATTTGTTGACTACAGAGAAGGCACTTTTGGACATATACGTTTATAATTACATCACTAAAATAATCAGTACACGGGAACTTTGCTTCCTTGTTTTCAGTTGCTGTCTAAATAAGATTAGTCCTTGATATGAACTAGCAAAATAACTGACTGTATGTTGCATAATATCAAGCTTGCAAAAACTGAGGTGTACAGGAAAGCAATTTGAATACTTGTTATCTTATGATTTGTTAGTCAGATAAGTAGATGGAACCCTTTGAGTTACTGGGAGTTTGGTGGAGTTCGTCATACTCTTATTAAAACACACAATGATTTTGATTTTTTTTAATACTACTCAGGACTATAAAGCTTTTCAGTTCGATGAATATTTCAATTAAATTTTAAGTAATTTTCGAAATGGCACTGATTAGATCCTCAAAGAGAAAATCATAAAGTTGAGATACCATGATGAAACTCAAGCTGAGTTCAAAAGTGAAAGATTTAGTATAATAATTAATCTCTATGACCTGGCTAACACTACGATCCCAATACTACTTGAATTCTGTGAATTCACATGATTAGCTTGATAATGAAATATCAAATAGGTTTCTATTGATTCACTACGTTTACTGGAGTCCGATAAGCACTGAAGGTTAAGTAGAATGATATTCTTTTCTATACACAAAACGACTTTAAAATCTCTTCCCTCACATTACATAAGTGATCACTAGAAATAATGAAATAATAATGAATAAGTTGATAGGGATAAAACGACCATAAATATTCTCTTGTTTACTGACAAGAAAATAATCTCATAAAAGCTACATATTACAGGCTTTACATTTATTTACCACTCAGCATCTAACGTCATAAATAAACTGAATTATTATTGTTATCTAGAAGTTTTGTATGATGATGTATTGCACAATTGGATGAATATAGTGTTTTTAATATATGTTGTAGCAGTGCTGCCATTTGTTTGCTCAAAATGATTTTCTATTATAGAAAAAAATGAATAAATTAAATTAACATTTAGGAAATCAAATCCACTGTTCTATTTCTATTTTATTTCTAAACTACTCAGGTGGAAAACTGTTATCATTATGAATGTTGCTTCCACTATATGGATGTGTTTAACTTATGTGTCAATGAGACAGCAGAGGAAACAAGCAAAAGACTAAGGCATAGTTTATCAGTATTTTAAAGAAAAAAACCTCAGTAAATTAAAAACTTTATTCAATTTTAATACTGTTTTGATCATCAGGGTATATTAGTCCAAAAAAGACAGATGAATAGTTTTTTGGTTGCACTCTGAGAGATACTGTTAGTTACATTTCCCAGGATTGGTCAAACTGTCAATTCATGTCATGAATTGATTGATACAAACACTGTTAATAATTTAAATTATGTAAAATTGAGTTGAGAGATGTTGCCAAAAAAACTGATAATTTTGTGTTATTGAGGAGTGTCTGTCAAAATAGAAAAATTTTTACTAACCCTTAAAATCTAGTGATAAAAATCAAATGTCTCATCTACAACAATAACTAGATAATACAACATGAGGTAGTTCAAACATCTCATTTCTTGTACCTTAATTTAAAATGAATGCTGCATAAATTGGCTTGAATATGCAAATGTCTTTTCAAACAACACTGAACCTAATAAATGAATAAATTTGTAATGTGTAAACACCTTATTGGTGTTGTAAACAAGTGGAAGAAACGATCTGTCTGAAAAACAGATAGACCATGTTTTAATTCCGTGATCGTTTTTGTATAAGATAATGAAGAAATAGAAAACTAGGAAAAGAATTAGGCAACAAAATCAATTAATCAAATAATGTCACATTCAGATTGCTAGAGTTTTTATTATAATTTATATAAAATGTGACTTGCAGTTCAGAAAACTGATAGGCTTGAAATCGATTATGCATCTGTTCTATACAGTTCGTGAGTATTCAGATAAATAAGGACTTTAAAGCACCTGTTCTATCGTTTCTGATTATTTTAGCAAACTATCACTTTTAACTCGTATCTATAGCTAATGATTAACTTATACATGTAAGCAATAGGGATTTTGACATGTATAAACAAAGATGCAGTACATTTAGGTACAATGTTAAAGCCTGTGGCTAAGCAAACAGTTAGTAATTTATTCAACCACATTAAAATATATTTGAATAAAATTTACATACATTCATTTCACCATATTTGAACAACTTGGCAACAACTAGTTAATTCTTAGATGTGTCCACTGGGATTAGAGAGTAGTAGACAAGAGAAATTCAATCCAAGTGTTTGACTATATGGTAGAGGTGACAGCACAATGCAAGCAACCAGTAAAAGAAGCCTGATATTATCAATAAATATAGAATAATGGGAAACATAGTTTAAACAACCCTGTCTTTGTATTATTGCCTTTGAAGATTCCTATAATGTTTGTACTATAATGTGAAATATTCTTAGGAAACGAAATCTGCTTAAACTATATACATACATAGATACTAGTTGATCACTGATATAGATATAGGTTTGTTAAACTATGGAATAGTAAGTGCAGTCAACGAACAATTGGTCCTTAGGAGCATTTTTGTGAAACTTTCCCTACGAATTTGAAAAGACATGATTTTCATTGTCATGTGGATGCTTGCTGTTTTTTGAGTTTATCTATACAGTGTTACAAACATACTAGGAGTGAATTCAAGAGAGCCATATGTGACTCGTTTGTTGGTAACTGCTTACTGATTAACTTACAAGCAATGTCATAATCCAGGTAATCAGTTTTTTACTTGTAACAAAATCTCTACCCATATGATACATTCAATCTGTTGATAGACATTGCCTTAGTAGTCTTCTGCTGAATTCTTTATAACTCATTGAAATAATGGGATACTCCAGGAGCATTCAACATAATAGGAAGTACTTAGTTCACACGAATTTCTGAAGCTATACTATAATAATCACTAACCAAATAAAAAAAACATGCCAGTTCACTATAGTGATCAGAAAAATTTTAAATCCAAGAATCTTTATTTGTTTACGACAATATAGCAGTATAGCTGAACAGACTTGACTCAGAAACGAAATCCTTTAGGCCATCTAGATGTGACCATCTGACTTCAACAGTCAACTGATCCATCTCTCCACCTTCAGAAATTGATGAAGTAAGTATAAGTGGCCAGGAACTAATCAGCTTACTGTGACGAAATTAAACAGTTTTACAAATAAATGTTGAAAAGCTATTTTCAGAATTCGCTAATTAAACTGAATACATAAACTGACAATCAAATTCATTTACCCGTATCTTGCAAGTGTAAACTGAATATGTTTGAATGCTAAACTTTAACTCACTTCATCGGTTTTTTGAAGGTAAGTATAATTTAACATTAGAGAAGAATAATGGAATAGTACTGAAATACTGTCAAGTCACTGATAAAATTATTTATAAATTACAAGATATAAATACTGAAAAGAGAACCTGACAAATCACAATTAAGTAAAACTGCAAAAAACAAGTAGTCAAGTGCATGATTTGAAATTAATCACGTTATAAATGCTAGGTGCTTACCTTGATTTATATGTAAATTACATGACTTACAAAACAAAACATTTAACATATAACAATTTCCAGTTTAGGGCTTGTGGAGATTGTTAAGTTTTTGATTGAGATCATGAACCGACTGATGTTTACTTATTTACGCTGTGTTTTCCTAAGCTGACTACTTTATCAATAAATTTTCAGCAATGATGAAATGCATAAATGTTTAATTCAGTTGGTAGATAGGACTATAATACTAAGTGTCGATAAGTCCCCACACCTGGATTTCATGGTGTTTACACCATAGATTTAAAAAATGGACAACACATAATGCTAGTATGCAATCGAATGATACATTACTTACCCTGGTGATCCTGAGTATAAGTCTATGTCCAAAATATCCAAGCTAATTCGCTGATATGGAAGCCCAATTAACTGATATACACAGAGAAGATTGTTAGGTTGGTAACCTGGGTAGGTAGGTGAAATTAATTCACCAGATATTTCATCTAATTTAGTCATATCTCCATTTATGTTAGGTTTAGCAATATGATCTGCTTCAATACGAAAACGACAGTTACTACTAGTTATGGTGGAAGCAGCAGTAGCATTGCCAGTACTAGTAGTAATGTCATCTTCAAATGGTATATACAATTCAGAGGAAGAAACAGCCTTACCAGGATAGAATGCATCTGCAAACACAAACATGTAGGAAAAAACAACGATAAGACAAAACGAATATTTTATGTCTTTTTAAAACAGTTTGTTTAAAAGTGAAGACCATTCAAGCTTACAATGGTTTTTATCTAACCATCGGGTAAACCTACCAAGATATTTAGAGACAATTCTAAAACTTTATTAATGAACTTCTATTCCTTGTAGTTCTTTTGAAAAGTCGTATTCAGGATGTTTTTTGTCTTACAAATAATACCATTTATGTCATAATAGACATATTCAACTCCAAGCAGAATTTTATCACCTGCTGTTTTTTAATCGTTGTACTATTATAATAGTATCACATGCTTCTGGAAAGCTTTTCATTCACATTATCACATGGAAATACTGTAGTTTCTTTCTGCTCTGAGTAATTGTAATAATGCTAATAATTTCAATAGCATACATTGTTGCCATTGTTACATTTAATTTTCCAGCACCAGCTGCTGTTGCTGTCAGTGTTCAAGTATCTGGAGGTAAAGATTAAACCTATGTTTTAAATGTTTGGCTGAATAAAGTGTATTATGATACTTCGTAAAATTCAGTAAGTAAATAAACCAGTTTTATTTAATCTAAATTTAAAGTACTTATGTTATTCTTTTCATAGTTAAATAGTAAATAGTATATTGATGTATAGTATATCAAGACACACAGAACAGCTGTTTCGTTTAAGCATGGAACTTCTTATTAGTATATACCATTGGCCGAAACGGGACCAAAACCTTTAGATTGTGTTACAGCATAAAACCAATGAATCGAATTTCAGTGATTCTCATTTTCAACTCCAGTCATATGTGGTGACATAATGCATGTCTCATCTAATATAATTGGAAGGAAGGGGTAATTCTCAATTCTCAACATTCTTGAGTAACGAGTGAAATGACTCCATAATATAACTCTACTGAGAATGAGAATTCAATCAGTTTAAAGATTATATAAAACTTACTGGTTTGGTGACAACCTAAAGATGGTCACTTATGGTTCTACCACTGATGAATCAACAGTCAAATGCATAAAAAACGATTACGGATCAAGTTAGTTATGCTACCATGTGCGAAAAAAACTAGCAATGAAAACGCTTACAAGTAAAAGGTCTATCATTTTTACCTTGAGTGAAATACTTTTTTCAGAAGATCAGTGATGTAATCTGGTGAAGGCAAGATATTTTTAAAATACATTTTATTCATTTGAAATCTTTTGTTGATATTTATTTCACTGTCTATAATGACTAAGATATTAAGGCTTTCGTAGTTAACCACGAATATGGATAAACCATGAATAAGTGAGAAAATAATTCAAGTAAATGATTGTATTTTATTCAATATGACAATAATCTTTTATGTATTACATAAAATAAAGCATAACGCTAATAGCAAGTTATATTTCCAGTGTTTGTTAGGTACCAGTAATTAATGACTGAAAAGGTAAGTTAAGAAATATTGAACAAAGATATACGGGTGTATATGTTATGCTGTTTTCTGAGAAATAATAAACCAGGTTTCACTACTTGTTTGACAGTTGAGTCTCAAATAAACTGTAGAAAATTGGCTATTGTCTTGGAGGAAATAAAATATCATTAACTATGAGACTGGTGATAAATTGAAAAAAATTTGTTTTATTTAAAGGCGTCTGTCTTCCAGTAGTTAATCAGAAAACTTTGGCTAAGAATTTTTGTTTCAGCGAATTCTGTTTAATTTGTTTTCAAAACTATTAGAAAAATGTATTTCCTGTCTAAAAAGAATATTTACTCAACCACAACTGAAAGCAGAAGGCAAAATGTTCTTAACTTTCTTATACTTAATTTGCTACGAAAGTATGAATATAGCGAGAATACTGTGTATGTTATTCAAGAGTTACTTAACAAGGCAACTGAACAAATACTTTTTTATGGAATAAATATAATGCGACTAGCAGTAAAATCCAGGACGCATGTTTCGTCCTGTTTAAGACTTCCTACCTGGGTGCACCTGCATCCCAGAGGTGATTTACCCTCCAGGACTTGAACTCAAAACGAAATGCTCGTCCCAAATTCTACTGCTCGTCACTTCCCATCTATCCTACGTTAACTTGTGTCATAATGACCAAATTGAGTAATCTGTACAGGATATATATATGCCCATCAAGACTGATAAAATGTCAGTTAAAATATCAAGCTACTTCCGTGATATTTTAATGAATTCCTTGAGAAATTTGATTTGAATATACCTCTGTTTTTTAATTACTTTTTAATTCAATTATTCTCCAACTTACTTATTTACCCTGGTCAGACTGAATCCTATGGTTCTATTTATTTTTTTGAATACAGTAAAAAGACTAAAATTATTTAAGACTATTGAAAAATGTTTGTTTTTACGTTGTTGTTTGGCCCTTCATATCGATTGATCGTAAGGGATGAGTGAAGTGATTAATAAGTAAGGTACATTTTTAACCTTTTTTGTTAGTGTTTCTAAAACTAAACCAACTAAAATAAAGAATGATTATAATCTCTGAGTTACTAAGGGAATAACTGAGATTTGATAAGGATAGATAGAGGTATGAGTAGAATGTACGTCTTTACAATAAAACACTTTAATATCACAAAGCAAACTAGAAAGCTTAAATTACAAGTTTTATATTAGATTCACTTACACTGATTCAGAATCACATATATATGTGTTTTAATGAAAGCAGACATTTAATCAAACAAGATATTCATACAAACTGTGAGTGTTTTTAATTTATATACTAATATGTATCGTCTATTGATCAAACAAACGTTTACTCACACAATCATCTGAGTGAACAGAATCATGTTAGCACTCAGATGAGAACAAATGTACACTTTTGACTAGTGCCTTGTATTCACAATCATTTTATTTATCATAAAGTGTATAAATGACTTCAGGCTTGGTTGAAGTCCAAATCCTGACTTATTCTACTGTAGATATGAAAATGTCTGTTTACAAGTACAAGTCGACTTTAAAAATCAACAAAAATCCAGTCAGTGTTATTGATCTGCGGTGTTCACTCAAGATTTTGCCAGCTAATAGGCTTATTATTTTCATCTGAAGATTAAAACTAACTGTCGTAGGGCGACCATAAAAGTAAATTGACGTCCAGAATCAAGTACTTATTCAAATTACCGTCAAACGATCCCAGCGATTGCTGAAATATTTCTGAGTATATTCTAGCAAAGCCATTTGAATATCTAAAGTTGAGAAATGAGCGTAGCTAAACTTTTAGTGAGACTAATTTCAAGTGTAATATTTCTAAGCCTTGATAATAAATTACCATAAATTCTCAAAATAATTTCACCCACCTCCAGTATAGATCAATCTCGTATTCCTATGTACATAAGACTACAGATACATGTGTTTATTTGAGGAAAAACGAACAGTTGACAACTGATTTAAGAGTCGATTCTTGTTCAAATTTTCTATATATTTCCAAGTTACCCGCTATATTACATTATTATTATTATTAATGGCTTTATTCAATATTGTATTTTGGTACAATATAAAAATTCTCAGCACAGGGTATTTCAACAAGCTTGTTACACACAAAAAACAGAAACAAAGACAAAAAAGGGAAGGAAAAGTTTAAAAAAAATCTGAAAAACTGTACAACTTTTCAAATTAGAGACATGTTAAGAATGCAGGTTATTGACTAGGTTAACTCTGACAACCTGTTCGTCACAGAGTATATTTGCTAGGCAAGGTATTATAGAACTTTTATACTTTTGCTTGCGTGCATGAATTTTAATGTAATTACGTCTCGTTATACCAGAAGATATACAAGTAGAAAGATAAGAGTGAAGGGGATGGTTAGTATCTGATAAAATAACACCTGCCAGGAGTTTGCATGACTTTAGATGTCTATCCACAACCATATTAATTATAGACTCGAAAGATTCACCACACATCTTGCTAACTGCCTTCAGCACTCTCCGCAATACAGCAAAATCTTTTCTCAAAAGCCCGGGAAAGAATAATGGAGAACAGTAAAGAATAATAGGTAATATGCAATAATTGACAAGTTGTAAGAGTAAGTGACGGGTAGTCCAAAGAGCATGCAATCTCTTTATGCAGTAAGTCAGACGGAAAACCTTCATCGATAACGATAAAACGTGAGAAGACTAAGAGAGATCAGACGAAAAGGTAACACCAAAGTAATTGACCTTCGATACTGTGTTTATCAAAGAGTCTCCAATGGCACAAGCATTATGGGATCTCAAAATGGTGTTTAGATGCCGTTCATGTCTCATGCTAAAGTTAACAGTTTGACATTTAGACGGATAAAGTATAAGACCATTACCAACAGACCAACAATCAATACGAGACAAAAAACTCATTCATTACTATGGGATGTAAAGAGGAAGAGATAGACATACATACAGTGAGATCATCACATTTCACAAAAGTGTTTTCTGTGGAAGATGGCAGATCATGCGGAAAAGAAGAGAAAAGAAATGGTGAAAGAACAGCTCCTTGTGGTACACCTTCATGAGACAGTAGAGACTCTGAACACTTTCCTCCAAACACAGTGTACTGGTCCCTTCCAGAGAGCTAGGAACATAGCCAGTTGGTTATCCAGCTGTCACTGTTGACGCTGATCAACTTGTTAATTAAACGTTGTCTTGGTATAGAATCGAAAGCTGAAGTATAGTCCAAAAAGCACATCGAACATACTTCTTACCCTTTTCTAAGTTGAACACTATATTGTGATGCAGAACAGCAACAGCATCTAAGATGCTTCTTTTGCATTTGTAAGAAAACTGATACGGATCAATATGCTCTTTTATCGCAGGCTGAAGTGGAAGTATTATTAATTTTTCCATTGTTTTGAGGAAGGGTGAAGTTATTGCAATAGGTCTAAATTTCACATTCTTATCACCAGATACTTTCTTAGGTACATGGATTATCTTCATCTTTCTCCACATTTTCGGTATGAGATTAGATGAGAAGAATCTGTTAAAGATAGTCATGAATGGATAACATGGAACGTCAGCACATTTTTTAAAAAGGAGGTTTGGGATGCCATCAGGTCCTAAACATCGGGATGAATTACGTGAGTGAAGACATCTTCGGACATCAGTTTCAGTGAAACTAGGAACACAGCTATTCTTTAAACCTGTGGATGAAGGGAGCATTACATCAGATGACTGACGTACAAAAAACTTATTTAAGTCACAAACGTTCAGCTGGCTATCGCTCCTAATCTGTCTAAATTTTACATACTGTAGCTAAAAGTCATCTGTCAATCTCGTTTCTCGATTTTAAAAATTCATTCAACTTAGTTGTTTAGAATGTCGTAAACAACAGATTAATAATAATTACCTAATACAGAAATAAATGTCACTCTCACAAATAATATAATGAACTTCAATGTAAATCACATTCTATACATCACCGCTTATTATTTATAAATCTTAACTGATCATGCTGTGATCAAGTATGCAAGTTCACTAGGAATTTACGCGAATCCTTTTACTTAAGCCTAAAACAAGTATCCTAAGTCAAACGAAAGAAATTTATCAGTACTAAACAGTTGGGCCTTTATTTACAAATGTGAATTGAACGGGTGAATTTTAAGAAGTTTTTTTCATATGTGATTATGAAAATTTAGAAATGAGTTCACCTACTTAAAAAGACATCAAGTTAATAAATAACACAAATGATATTAACTAACGGTCAATAACACTGTGTATTGAGTGTTAGAGTACATGTCTTATGTAAAAATCAGGTGAACCTTGAACTTAGGATAAATTTATTAATTTATATCCAAAAACGTTTAGTATCAGTTGTTTAATTCCTGAATAACTAAAAACAAAGCACTGTTTTCAACAAGGTTTTGAGTATGGGGTAGGCGTTTCAGACATTCGGACACTTTAGAAGCGTGAATATTAGCAATATTATGAATAACAGGAAGCTCATTGAGTGGTAATTTACAAAATTCAAGCATTATCATTTTATGCTTAAAATATATTTGGCCACACGGTTAGAAGAAAGTCTGTAAATAGTGAAGTGAAACATTTAAACATTTTCGGAAGTAGTATATGTGAATGTTTGTCAATAACACAATAAGGTAGCATACTAACAAAAACAAAAAATAACTTTATGCAAATCATTTTTTCCATAGTGATTAATAACTTTCTGCATCTCTCTGTACATACCATTCATAGTCAATCTAATCACAAGGTTTGCTACGATACTGTGATGTGATCGAGTCAATGTTGGCTAATTGGTAAATATTGACTGATAATTGTGGGTTTTATGTGTACTTATCACTACTCATTGTATGACCCTTAGGATAGGTCACAGTTTGATGATAAAGTAATGGAATATCTTTCATGTGTTATGCGACCCGGCATTAGAGTGTATTTTGCATTACACAACCAGATTACTCCTTAGTCAACAGGTTTATATTTGCACAGAACAACATAGTACGGACTGCATGTTTGAAAAATTAATCCAATAGTATTTCTAATCAGTTGAGATTTCAACAAATTGTTATTTATAGCATTGACTACAACCATGAAAAAACCAGACTTGGCTGCTTCAAACAACAAAATTTATTTTGATCGTTCGATGCTCAACTTCCTTCTGAGCACCCTTAAACATATAACATGAATTTCTCGTTAATGTTAAACGCTATACATCAAGCTAGTGTAACAAATTAACAAAACAAAAACACTGTTATTAAGCTTACCATCATTAATAAATTCGAATGTTCCGTTGAAACCGAATATAGTGGATTTTCCAGTTGTATACCAGGGATTTGCCACTTTTTCTAACTCTGAATAAAAATCCAATACAATCTCTCTGTGTAAACTAATAAATGTGACAGAGTTGGTCGCTAGATAATCACCACAATATCGGCCCAATAAATCTGACTTATCTAATACGGAAGAATAAACAGAGGCTGAAAATGGTGTTGTTGTGTGTAGTTCATTAGATGATGATGATAAAGAAGAAGAGGCTTCAACAAGTATTGCAGCTTGTCTATCCAAATCTAGTGTTGACGAAGCAACATCAATATACACATCTAAGAAGTCGACTGAACAACTGTTAGGAATAACAGTGGGAGAAAAATAGAAAAAGGGGTATTTATCTAAGTTGTTAAATAGCTTAAAGGTTCTGCAGAAGGGAAAACTAAATATTCAGCAAAATTATGAGTCGCCACATTTAGACATTTTTTGTTACTTAGTTTTGTCACTTAGTTTTGGGATCTTTCTCTTCTAAAATCTTCGCATTTATACCCAGAGTAATTGTATAACCTGAAATTCTCATTTAGTACTACTTGATTACTATCTATGATAACCTGGTACTGGATTCTGGGGAAAAGGTGATTGAAGGATTCTGCCCATACATTGATATTAGAATATAGGGTTATAAACAAGAAAGATAAAGACTTTAGAGTGAAACCATCCAGACCAGGTCAATACCATCGAAAGCAATCAGATGACACACAAATTTTCACCATGATGTTTAGAAGGGAATTCATGTAGCATTCAAGCAAAATCAAATTTCATTAGTTATTAGAATGAAAAGGAAAACCATCTTAGCACTTGACTCTAAGCCATACAATAGCGGATCTAGACAATGTTCAACAGATCACTTACTGCTATCTGGAAATGGCCCTAAATTATGAATTGATAGGTGATTAGTTGGCTTTTAATATGTGATTTATTTTTGTAACACATGAATAATCATTTACTCTAGAAACTCATCCAAGTATGTGTTTGGTTAAGCCGCATTTACCTAAACTAAATGATCACTTTATTTTACACACAATGAAGGAAATTTCATAAAAATCAGGATCTTTACTTAGCCAACGTTGTTAACCACAACTGAGTACTCACTAGCTAGAATTTCTATTAGAAAATCGAAACCTTTGAACAAAACAGAAACTCATCGGTAACATTAAATGGAGACTATAAGGTTAGTTGGAGTTGCAGGTGTGGGTTTTTACCTCAATAGTTTTGGAAGATATTGAGTTTATTCGATATTCATCCTCATTCGTTACAGTTGGCGCTCACTGTTTCTGAGCACTGAACCACAATGATACAGTTATTTAGTGTTCATTGGTTCTCATTGGTTCTCAATGGTTCGTGATAAGAAAAACTTATAACTTGTACAATATCTCCACAAATCTAATCCTAATGTTATAGCTTATACCGGCCATATAATGAATCAAAGTTTATTATCTAAAATAAATTTTATTACCATTTCAGTTTTCAAGAATTAGAAGTATATTTCGCAATCCATAACATTAAAAATGATGATTAGTAATTTATCACTACTTTTTACATAATAGTAATTAATAAATTTCTTTTCAAACTATACGCAACTAATGAGAAACTAATGACGTTAATTAATGAAAAGGTATGTCTATATTTAATGTTTTTCGAGTTAAGATTATAAGGATTGCAATAATCTAATATTAACATTTGTTCATCAGAAAGTTGAAGTACTCATAAACAAACAAGAATTATTTATCTGTATATTGCATAGTTTACACACGGAAATTATCGCACATTTTCATCGAAACCATACTTCACTTCTCATATTTAGTTGGACAGGTAAGATTTTAAAATTGTTTTAAAAAATTAGTGATTGTACAACACAACAAGACTAATGCCGAATAATATATTTAACAATGATCAATAAATTCTAGTTCAAGCGTCCACATAACACTCAACTATGAAGTTTTGCCTGAGCCCGAGAATGTCGCGCTTATGATATTTAGAATATCTTAACCCTTTTTTACTGTAACTGGAGTTAAAATATTAAATTTAGCTCACGAGAGCCTATCGCTGTAGGTAAAAAATATCAATATATTGGTGTTGTCTACAAAAACTATGAAAGCTTTATGATTATATCCCCTAGATAGGATCACTCAACTTCAACAAACTCATACTCGAAACTACAGATTCTCTACACCATTTTAACTTGCTAAATCCAAGAAAGTTGTTTGTTTTAAAAACTCTCCCAAGTCATATCTGGGTTTGTGATGGTGTAACAAAAACAATTCTGCTGAATGTCTCAGTATTGAGAGATATTTGTTTTACAATGTCTACTTAGAAAAAATACATACAAATTGAGTGTAACTTAGTCACAAAATTTTTTTTATTTGAAATAATAACAAAAAATAAAATGAAAAGTACGTACAATAAATAATATTCATAAAGAAATAACACACTGTTAAGACACTTTTGGAAAGCACAATCAGTCAAGAATTTATTGGCTAATACTTTTTGAACACAACAGGGATAAGGTCTGATAACAACATAATATTCCTTGTTAATTTATTATTTTTATTTAAATATAATCCACTAGAAACACTTGCGAATAACACATTATCGTTACTGCAATTAACCCTACATAGATGTGGGTGGGATAATGAATTTCGCAGCATAATCTTCCATACAACAATTCCATCAGTTTATTCAATTTCCTGCTGTGATGCATTTTAAAAAACACCAGTATATTTGTATTGTTATTAAAAACATTTTTCACGCCTATAAATTAGAATGTTATATAAGAATATTTATGAAGTTCGCTGAAACTTAGGGGACATTTTCGATTGAAGTTTTATAGCTGAAAAATCAATGAAGGACAGGTATCATTGGTCATACATTTTAACGTATACATACATGATTCAATATACACTTCCTCCTTTGTACGCTATCAAATCCATGAAATCTAATATCGCTATAAAAGTGTATTAGAATGGTTCACATAATTTATTCCCAGTTATGACTAGTTATCATCTATCATTCAACTTAATAAATGCAGAATAATGATGGAAATAATTGTGAATTAGATCAACTCCCCAGTATGAAACCAAAGAATGAACACTGTTAGAATAATGAGGAATGAAATGAATCATCTCTAACAATAATTTATCAAAATATCTTTATATCCTGGATTAGCTAAAAGGAGTAAATCAATTTAACACATAGAACATTTTACTTATTTTTGACATTTTACAATTGTTGGTAGGTCAGTAGATGATATAATATTCACACGAGTACAAGAGGTAAGCTCTGGTATAGCTGACTTTTGCTAGCTGTTGCGCAAATAATAGGCTACAATACGTATATATTACTTAATCATCTAATCTAGAGCACACTGTAGCTGCGATACATGATTTCTGAAGATGCCAGAAGGATCCAATTATATGATTAGAAAAGTCCAGCTGATAGTAGGTAAATATTCAAAGACATGTATAATGACACCCGATTGACTTTTTTATTAGATAATTCTTAGATTATTTTCTTCATAATTAATTGATAAGATGGATAATAAGACAATCCATGTATTAAAAAAAAGAAGAATATGAGTGATAGAATTATGTTCTTTCACAATAAGTCATTGATTAATCTTTCAATATCTGTTTCTCGTTCACATTATTTCAGTTTAGTCGATTACAAAATAATAAAGAACTACTGGAAAACTATAAAATCAATAATAATTGATGAACTAACCTTGGCATATCACCCGATAAAACAAAGTGATCGAATTTAATATGGACTTTCTCACCAACATCCGCTATAAAACGATAAACACAACGTGTCCCAGATTCATATGATTTGGGCCATTTTGGTGAGGTGAATATACCTTGTTTTATTAAGTGCTTTCCGTTTCCATCTTCGTTGTTACTGTTAGAAGTTATATCGTTTTCTACTCGTTTCTCCGCTGAATTAAGTGCGGAGCTTCGAAGTAAAATTTCTCCAGTACCAGGAGTACAAGTGTATCCACTGATTATAGGAATAAGCAAAGTGATAAAAACTGAAAAGAAAATATATGCAAATGAAAAATACGAAATGTCTGATTTGAAAAAACTCATTTATTAGATTGCTTTAAGTCTAAAGATGGTTTAGAGTGAGACTATAATTTATGGATGACCTTTGAGCGACGCTAAAATAACCTTGAGAATATCCCCTAATAACTAGGACTAAATGAGGGTTATAAACCAGTGCAATGAACCAGAATTATGATTTATAGTTAACGGTTAGGGTAAGGAATTAGATTTAGGGTTTTCATCACGAACTGACATAAGCTGAAATGCCAAAACGCTATTTAGCCAAATGGATGAATGAAATCGCACCACAATCCAATACTTGATTGGTTCATCCGTAAATTATAGTCTTTCCTGATTAAGGTTATGAAATCAATTATTATTACTTATTGAAACTGCAATTCTTACTGAAGTCACTGATGAGTAATAATCATCAATCTGACTTCATATTTCCAAACCAAATCCCCACTTTTATGTTGCTTTGATTGTAATTGTTTTGGAGGACATGTACATTCTGTCTTATATGAAATTATTCGCTGATGATAATCATTATCAACCTCCAGTTTAACAATGAAAAGTGAAATAATCGGAAGCATATATATATCACCTAACTCATTCGGACAGATATATCATAAACTTATTTTTCGGTCATAAAATAATCAATATTGAAGGTAAAAATGTATTCATGTAATGCCTGATTTATGAGTAACTCTTCTAATAACATGATCTATTACACAGTTTAACCACGTGAACATTAGCAAACGCTTTTTATTGACCGTTCAATGACTATTGAAGCCTGTAGATCAATATGATCACTGATATATAGTGCGAATTCCTCTTATTGAAAACACAAAAGGCACATAACAGAATGTTGTAGAAATTTGGTAACAAGTTTTTTACAAACAACTTTATTAGAAAGTTCAACAAGAAGGACATTTATACATTCTTCACACCGTTCTCCTAAAAAAATAATTAATTTTAGTGTGTTTATCGATGCCCGTTTTAGTAATGTCTGACATACTGTCATTTGCTATTAAGAGAGTAAGAGAGAGAGAGAATGAACGGGAGAAAAACAATCAAAACTAGTAGATTATGTTCCCATCAGCAATCACGCAATGAATAGTCAAATAGGAAGTGGAATTGTTGTATAGAAAATAGATAAAGAACAAATGAGGATGAAGAAACGATGAACATAATAAGGAATTAAATCAGATTTCAACAACTTTATTACAGTCTGGAAATTTGATCTAAATAAATTAGATTACGTTTACGTCAGTACAGTATTCATTATTATCACTTCGACAAGAACAATCAAATACGAAATTTCAGATATTTCATTAAATGATTTAATGATGGATATCCAATATTGATGTCAGAGATCAAAATTTATGAGGTCAGTTAGTTATTTTTTATGGTAGTAAAATGTATCACCTTTAAAAGTACAAGAATATTAGTCTTCAGCACCAAGTGATGCTGAAAACTCTGTTTTTCAACCTGCATAATTAACAGGTTATCTGCCTAATCTTAGGAGTAGTATTCGTGCGCTATTTAACAGATGTGATCCTTACAGAAATCTAACATTGAATAAACTAGAATTCTTGCAGTTTTAAAGTTTGATCCTAATACTTAATGTGTAAAATATTTTATAATCATTCAGAAAACAACTTTTCCAAGGTGTAGCACCAAAAAATTCTAATCGTCTTTTTACTTACTATTTATTTCAGTATCAGTTTAGACAACGGAATTTTCGTGAATAAATATGAAATCTAATAATAATATGATTAGGTGGAAGTGTTTGTTATAGTTATTCAGTATTGATATAGATAAAAGATTAGATTACCCTCATGTTTTGCACTGATCGACAAGCAACACTTATTTACTTTTTATAAATACAGATGTTACTCAATGAACTTAAAGTTATTATATTTCTGATAACTCACATTTCACCTTAATTTCAGTCATTTTATTAAACCTGTGTTGTCGTACATTTTCTGCTCTGTATCTGTTATTTATGTAGATAAAGCTTATGTTGATGAATATAGAAAAGTAAAAAGTGCTGCATATTGATAGTTTTTTGGCTTTTTGCTCAAAAAGACAAAACGGTCAAATGTTGGTGCATATCATATTTGATTTCTGAATAATTGATGCCTGAATTATTTCTATCAACTACTTTTACACGTTTACGATGAATTACTAGTGTGGATGTTTGGAGGAGGAGAGAATGCACTTACTGAAACTAGAAATATATTGGCCTAGGCTTGGCCTAAAGTCTTTCGCCTTTGATATTTAGAAGAAATTAAACATTTGACAGTAGTGAGAATGATTTTATTCAGAGTTTTACTAATAGGGATAGAGTTATTTAGAACGTATCGATGTTTTTTTAACAAAATCCACTGTTACCAAATATCGTAGATGCAAATGGATGTCGAGGAGAAAAGTATATAATAATTAGATGACAACAAACAAATCCATTTAAAAATGAAAATAATCGATCATCGCCCCCAAAGAATACTGTTCTCCAGGTTGGAGATAAATCACTCTTCTAGAAGAGGAGCGAATGTATATATTCAATTCATTTTAATGAAAGTTAATGAAAAAAATAACATTGATGTCTCGAAGAAATTAATAACAGGCTTTCCACCATACCGTGTTGTGTGCTTACTTTTATCTACAAAACTGGAGTTTATCACTTTGTTATTATAAATAGATAACTGATTTAAACAAAATAACACATACACACAGAGACAAATACTTTTAAACAAAGAACCGATGCATTTTTACTATTCTATCAATTATTGGTACGCTATAATGTTGTTGTTTTTTCTCAATCATTGTTCATGCATAATAACTACAAACCCCTGTCTCAATTGATTAATTACTATATAGTATAAGGTAAAAAATTAGTTGATTATGATACCCAGAAAGGGAAATAATACTGATAAAATTGTGAGATCTAGTATAGATTGATTCCCTTCTTACTAGTATATAACCCAATAAGTTGCCAATAGAACTTGATGTAAAAATTTGGATGTCAGTCCTATTTCCACTCGAGACGGGTAAAAAAGAAATTTCTGATAATGAAAAATTTGAAAGACTAATGACAATTAAACTTATGGGAAATTAATAGCCAAAGATTAATTCAGATTACACAGTTGCTTTCCATTTCATCTAAAGGAAAAAAAATATAGTGCAGGGATACTAGTAGTTCGCCTTCACGATACAACTCTAGGTCATTGAGATCGAACCAAGTACATCTAAAACTGAGTAGCAGTAGGTAAATCAGCTGTTAGATTATTAGACATGTTCCATCAAGTAGATTTTGAATTATTTAACAGATTGAACTCGGTTAACTTGTGATAGTTTTTCTACATAATATATTTTGTTTAACATCCATTCACTGAGCATTAGCTGACACTATAATGTCACTGGAAGTTTATAAAAGTATTTGCAAGATAGTGTAGATAGGTTTAAGTTCATACAGAAAGAAAAATTCTCATTACATGCACTAAGTAAATAGCCATTATAAAGAAGAATATCTTGCGATGGTTTCCTGTATACCGTCTAAAATGATGACAAAATGTTTCAAATAATGGTTTAAAACATGTTTCTTACATTTATATGGTACAACTTCGTGGAGTTGGTTGTCAAAATAACATTCCGTAGCAAGGTGTTGAATTTTTTTACGGTTTATTAAAGGAAATGCAGACACTTTTGGGTCGAAAACAGCAACGAACAAGTCTCACTGGTCAGTTTTTTGCGTTCCTTGCAGTAGATAAACATATGATTTAGAAAACTTCTGGGTTTAATTACGAAAATTATGGATTTTGGTAACTAACCAATTTATAATTTGTAAAATGGATGTTGTTTGGGTTGAAGTTTGATTTTGTCATATTACACCAAATAATTTGGTCTATTGACATAATTATCAAGATGACTAGATAAGATCTTTCTTATCAATTAGACTTGTAGATTTAAATTGAGCTTCGCTACTTCATGTTGAATTGATCGCTTTTCGTAAATAACCTAAATAACAAAATATTACTTACTAGATGGTTTTTGTGCTTGCACTATATTTATCAGAGGTTACTGGTAAATGATATTACCTACGTCCTATTATAATCGGTATTGAAGTATAAGTACCTACTGAACCTTAGTTAATGCCAGTTAGACAGTTTAAAAACGTGAGCAGATTATATTAATTATATTAATGAATGATATTTTGACGGAATTAGATTAGCTTGAGACTAGCATTCCATATCCAAGATATGATAATGACTAAAGAAACGATAATTAACCAACCTCAGCCTATAATAAAGATTCCAAATAACGATTCATGATTTATTATGTTCAATGAATTAAAATACAAATACACAATGAAACAGCTGGAAAATTAGTATATCGCATAATGATATATTATCCGTAAAGCAATTTAAATTGATTGGTATATATTCAAAAGTAATTATCTAAATTTACGGTTACTTTATTCCAAGAAAAAGTATTTTGTTACAGTTTGTAGTAACAAGAATGGGTTTGGAAAACTATCAGTAAGTCTAAAACCAGAAAATCATTTCATAAAGCAATAAAAATAAAGGAATGTACATTGAATAAAACTAAACGTGAATGTTAGAGACATTGGATCCTCATTTATATTCTTATATTAAATTAACTTGTATAGAACTATTGTATTCCTTGATTATAAAAATTAAGAATTCACGAAAGAGTTAACAAACATGATTCAAGCATTTTAATTTGAGTTACAGTTATTATTGGTAATTTCAAAATATTGACGGTCGACTTGATGAGTTGATCTAAAATAGAACACCATTGAAAACCTGGAAGCAGTGAACGGCCATTTCGTTCTAGTATGGAACTTCTCAGTAGTGCGTGTTCATGATCCCGTACACCAGATTCGGACCCAAAACCTTCGGTTCGCACACGAACGTTTAACTTCTAGACCACTGAGCCGGCATCCAACAGTGTTAATGTCTAA